AGAATAACAATATTTCAGTGCTTTTTGAGTTCTTAGCTCTGACAATGCTTAAGGTGGCGGTCCCACTCCAGTGGCAAGAGCTCGACATTTTAGTCGTTGTTTACTGGCTCACTGTGCTTGCTCTGCTCAATGGAAGAATATGAGTTCTATTGCATTATAAAGTTTACGTTCTCCGCTTTCTAATGACAACTACTCTTTTCGCCTAGTCTGGAGTGTTATTTCATGGCAATTGAAACAGTGTGAGCAAAAAACAGCGTTTTTGCTGTACAAGCCTCCGTTGTACTGCCAGTGCAGCAAAACTGCCCAACATAACGAAATGAAATTTGCTGAGCCTTTTAACGAAGCGTTATGCAAGGTTTCTATGAAGAGATATTGCCAGTAAAGCAATTAGAAATTGATGCACGCTCTAATAAAAATGGGCAAAAGAATGAAAGTTTATGAGTAAATAACTTTTTTTCTATTTTGTGCAAAACAACAATATTGAATGGGTTTCCAGGCTACAATGTACATTATGTGTACGCGAAGTTGTTTTGTGTTCTGATGAACAGTTCTTGAATTATTACTCCTTCAATACGGCAATTTATGGCGCTACTTGGTCAGGCATTACCGACGAAGGGACAAAACTATCCAAGCTGAAACTCTGAAATCTTCAATAATAAATCAGCAAGCCTTTCCCTAGGTTTCTATGAAGAGAAAATTGTCGTAAGTTAATTAGAAAATTTGTAGGACAGCAGTGAATTTAGCTCATTTTTCTGCTTGCCAGGTTCGTGCAAATTTCCTTTTTTTGTCTTTTGTAGGCTAATTCACAACAAGTATTTCACATTAGCAGGACCATGTAGTGTCTTGTAATCACCAGTACTCACTAACTTTACGAAGCGGTGCTTGAAACAAAAGATTTTTCAAAAATAATAAAGCTCGCAAACACTTTTTGACGGTAGCGCCATCTGTCAAAAAAAACTTCAAGTTGTTTCACGTCAGTTCCGACGTTCGTCAAAAGTGGCGCTTCTAAACATAACTAAGCCGCCAAAACACGGATGGACTTCTTTAGACTTCAGTGGCTAAATGCTGCTGAAAAAGAAAGAAAGAGAAGGAGAGAGAGAAAGGAAGAAGGGAATAAAGCGTGTTGCACTGTACATCAGGAATGCATAACCAGCAGGTTAGGCTATTGTGCCAAAGATTCCAGGAATTGCTTGGTTGCTCGCCTTTGTACTCAGGTGACTGTAGAAGCGTTTTTGAAGGACACAAAGAACTGGACCTTGCCTCCCCATATTTTAGAAGCCTGTAGGACATTATCTGAAGCGCGCTTTCCCATCGCAGGGAGGTGACGAGTGTCTGGCAGTGTATGTGTGTTTGAATATTTCACGTGACGCCGGTTGAACTAGGATAACAATGGACTTTTTTTCGGGAGACTAGCCTGCGCATGCGAAGTGGTGCAAGTGGTGGTGACTTGACGCCATGTTTGGGGGGAGTAACAGAGCCAAACAGCTTCTATAAACGTTGCACAGGGCGGCGACAGGTGCGAACTGAAGGGCACCTGGCGTCGTTTGCAAATTATCCCGAAAAATACCAGGCCTACGAGATTTTTCTACCGGGCCGTGGCGGATAACTTCGGAGGCCACGGACTCCCAGTTTCGATTTCGGTGATCTCCACTGGAGGCGCTGTTCGGACCTGAAAAAGGCCCATTGACTCTGATGATTTGAGGCTGTTCTCTTTGTATCGGGCGGGCAAGATTAATTCGCCCTAACCAGAGAACGAAAAAAAAAAAACACCTATCAAGTAAATAAACTAAAACACTCCACAGGCGTACACACCCCGTACCAGTTCGTATAGTTAGTCTGCACGCCTTCAATTTTTGTCCACGTAAATCACTACCTCTGCGTCGCGCGCCACCACTGCAACAGCCTTGTTGGATGGATGGATGATATGAGCGTCCCCGTTATAATGGGGTGGTGACAAGTGTGCCACCTGGCTCGACAAAAAAATCTTTCTTTTTTTCTTTTTTTTTTTTTTATGTTGACCTTTGCAAAATAGTGAGCGACCCCTGGCCAATACCTTCTAGACTAGCTGAGGCCTCTTGACGTCATCACACTACGACGGGAGCGGATGCCGCGTTCTCAGAAATGCCCATTGCTACACGCTCGTTGTGTACTCAACGGCGCGCTGCGAATCCATTCTTTCATGATGTCTCCCGTTTCCCGAAAGCGCCGACAAGGCAACTCCGTCGTAGAGGGTGTTGCACCTGGCGCCCACTTTGCAAACACCTGTAAAACTTCTGCTTCCCTGACTGCTTTTCTCGCTCTAAACGTGTTCACCACTCCACATTCATACGAAGCGGCAGGATCAGCACCAAGACTTCTCAAAACGTACTTCAGGAATGTCACGCCTCATTGTAAGTTTCCTCTTCCACTGAGAGAAAGGAGAAAACGAAAGAAAGGAAAGACAGGGATTAGTGGTAAATGGGAAAAAAATTATTCGTCTGCTAGTCTGTGGTTGAGGCTTTCGTGTTGAGGCTTTCGAGGGAATAGGAGCAGCGGACGCCAACGCAAGACACTCGTGCCCGGTGTTACAACCGTGCATGGCAGTGTGCCGTTTCCTAAGACAGCGAAAAAGGATGCGGCGATATCCACCACCTCTAGCAGAAGCAAGAAAGCCAGAAAAAAAAAAAAACGGTCCTTGTCAGGACCAGCCTTCTCGATGCTTCAGTGGAGATTTCGCACTGAATGCGTTCTTCGTTCAACTGCCGTCTCTCTCTGTGTTCTGTTTTATTTATCTCTTACTTTACGTTGCTGCTATCTAGACAGCTGAAAATAATGCACATTGCCCAATGTTGCCCGACTTTGCCATTAGCAGCCAACCTGCGGGATGAAATTATAATTTTAGTACAAGAACAATCGCTTCCGTGTGCCTTATTGGACAGCCTCTTGGAAAAGCTGAGCTAGTTTTCGGGTGTCGACTCTAGGTCTATACAGATAGGTTGGGTTTCGCTGAGAAAGAGCCCTTACGCATTTTATTATTCAATACTCCCAAAAGGACGCAATTCGCATCTGTGTTACGACTTGCGCTCTTCGGTGCGGTGCTAGGAGGACTCGTTTTATAGATGAAAAAATTGTCTCTCATATGTTTCGCTAAAGCTGAGCAGCGCATTCGTGTATACGCCTTGTGCACCGCCTATAGAGGCGCCACTGATAGCCACCTGCGCCCCATACATCTGTTTACAGCTGCGCCCCATACATCTGTTTTGGGATGCATGAGGCTCATAGTGTTCTCGCTAGCAAAAAGGCAATGCCCTTCTGTCGTTCATGCATACAAAATCACCATTTTTGGCTCACTGCAAGGCGCGGAAAAGGGGCTTTATGTAATGATAGCCAGGAAGTAGTGGAAAGGAGCTTCCTGGGTAGCTTCTGAATGTAGCGACATAAGTATCAAGCGGACCATGCGCGACACCCACACTACATTCACAGTCGAACCAAAGCTGCTGACAGTGGAGAAATCTATAATTACTATGCACGTGCTCAAGGTCGGCGTTGTTCCACGCGACCCAACACTGCCGGTATTCAGGGCCACTGAAGAACTTCCTCGAGAACTACTCTTTTTCTTTCTACTCTTTTTTAGCGAGGAAGAGAAAGAGTCGGTTCAGAAACCAAACCATTACCAGGAGAGAGAGAGAGGCACCTCTTTTCCGGACAGTTGCACGGGAGTACAAAGGCTCTCGGGTCCGTGCCTTTTTTGTTGCTGTTGTTGTTATTGGGGAGCGGGGGGGGGGGGGGGGGGGGGAGGGCGTCACGCACATTTGAAACGTTTCAAAGGAGATATGGGAGCAGCGGCACCTCCGAAAAGAATGGATTAGTTCCAGCAGGAACAGGCTCTTCGCCACTGCATGCTACGATGGCGGAGAGTGCATTTTCCTCCCTTTTTTCCAAACGTGACTTAGTGGCGTCTTCTGGTGGCTCAAGCAGAAACTACTCGCAAGATGGCGACGGTGGTACCGTCACCTTAAAGGGGCCCTGCAATGCCTCTTCGTCTGCATTCTGCAGTGCTGGAGTGTGCGTACTGTTGAATACTGAGATGAATTCAAAAAGAATGATCAAAATTAATCCTCGGTAATGGAAGTTTTCAGTCTTTGAACTCAAAAACCCCAGCAGATGACGAGAAAAATGTTTCCTTTCGCATTGCACTCTTATGTTGACATCGAAGGCTGGTTTCAATCACTGTGCCCCTCTTACAGATATACCGGACGACTTGCCTCATGGTGGCTATTATGTGTGCATCTAGCATTCTGTTGCAATAGCTGAGAACATTTCATATTAAACGACAGAAATCAGAGAGTATGGCTTATCTGGAACCATATGAATATCACATGTGACTTGGCATGTTAACCCAATCAAAACCAATGTCGTCACTGCCATGAGATGAAGCGTCGCTTCCAATCACAAAAATAGCCGTTATGTGTTGCTCTAACCCGAAACTGATGCGATATCTCCATTGAACTTCGGTGCACCGTTTTCAAATTCTGGGTGAGAGTACTCATGCTGCAGTTCAAGAAATTACACATACAAACGTGTTCAACAGATGTATGCTTCAAAATATCCACAAATAACTTGCTTCTCCTAAATTTTCGAAATTTGAAGGCCATGTGATGGTCATAAAGTTTAGGCTTTATCTGTTTTACAATTAGCAAATGACATGCATGACAAGCACCAAGGACATATATGTGCAAAGTTTGCTAATCAGGCATAAGCCAATATTTGCTCTTTTGGCACCCATTCAAAACAGTGTAATGGCTTGACACTCTTATCATCAATGCAATGTGTCTATTAACTGGAGCGCCACATATACTAGAATTTTAAAACAATCATTTGACTCCCCACTAATCTCTTTTTGCTAGAACAAGTGTAACCAACCCACCACTATTGAATATGAGTGTATTAGCCAATTGGAGCCATACACATTGCAACAAACCTTGGCTATAGCGGAGACATAAGAAGTACAACTGACAAACCTTGTAGTTTGTGAACTGGCGATACAGGAACACACCACCAACAATGCCTGTTGCCAGCACCAGGAATGCTGTGAAGAAGACGCACAGTGTCGTAGTTGTGCTCACGCGACGTGCGCGCATTGTCACTATGACGGGGCTGCCTTCCACGTCCCCTTCGTTGCCCTGGAGTGGTTCGACAAAAAGATCAGTGCGGCAGAGGTGCACAAAGCAGTGCACACATTATAAGTATCATAAGAGATTTACAACAATGTGCTTATACCTTTGGTAGTGTGGAAAATATGTTCTAAAAAAGTAAGATCAAAGGACACCTGATGCCTTTTCAGGTGAAGGTAACAAAGGGTCGTTGTACAGAGAATATCGTGCTTCCGACATTCAGGACTACACAAACGGTTGTGCATGATTAGTAGCTATCACAATTACTTTATTGAACGGCTGTACTGTGCCCTTTATCAATTTACATTAGGGAATAAAATACACCATTTCCCTCTAAAGGGAACCATGTGTAGATGTGAAGCAGTGGGCACTAATGCTTGCATTGGCGGCAGCACTGACGCTAACGCTCATCATGGCGTTGCACAGGACAGAAACCTGGTGAGGCACAGAGCACGCAGTTATGAACCGGTGTTTCCTGCTGGAACATGCCAATTTCTGCTAATGGGCACTGAGAGACAGAAGACTCAGATTGAACACAGAGACCAGCCGTCCACCTTTAGTTAACGAGCATGCTGCGAATTTTTATTCAGCAACACACAGGGGGAAATTTTCATTGGCACTACCTTGGGAGGTCAAGATTCAATGCCTATATCTACGGTGTGGCCAGTGAACGGTTGCGCAGCATGAGCAATCAGTTTTTTCAATCAACAAACTTGCTAGCACACGCTGCCTGTGTTGGCGTTGCGTGATGAGAGAGGGGGGGAGCATAAAAGGAAAGAGGGGATGCGCATGTGCAGTGGAGCGAAGACACCACCAGATCAAGCTCACTCATAAGAAGCTTCGTGCATAAAAAAATAAAAAAAGACGAAACCTTCAGGCAAAAATGCTTAATAAATAACACTAAAAGGAAGTAAGTAGAACACCTGAATCGGCAGCTATGCAGTTACACCCATGACGAACTTGCCACTCAGTTCTTTGCATCATAGCTATATTCGTGACGAACTTGCCACTCAGTTCTTTGCTTATAAGGGCATTAAAAATGCATAGTCACAAATTAACTGGTCACAATTACAGTTTTACTGGAATGTCTGCAATATTTATAAGTCATTTTAATGACACAGTAACAAAATTTCACGCGTAAGCGCCTTGCGCAGACGTCCACCAACCTTGTCTGCCGTACCAAGGCAACAAAGGTTTACAGGATATGTGAACGGCAAACGTGAACAAGTTTTTCTCCTTTATCTCAAGAAAAGACATATTACACACTTTTTACTGCTTTACTCTCATTTAGAATTTAGGTCACTTTTGGAGAACATATGCGTCTTGATGGCTAGAAGCATATAATAATAATAATAATTGATTGGGCTTAACTTTCCAAAACCAGATTATGATTATAAGAGATGCTGTAGTGGAGGGCTCTGGTAATTTCAACCACTCAAGTTTCTTTACCATCATCAGCCTGACTATGCCCACTGGAGGGCAAAAGTCTCTCCCATGATCCGCCAATTAACCTGGTCTTGTGCTTTCTGCTGCCATGTTATACCTGCGAACGTTTTAATCTCATCGGCCCACAAAACTTTGTCTCCCCTTCGTGCATTTGACTTCTCCGGGAATCCAGTCAGTTACCCTTAATGACCAGCGGTTATCCTGCCTATGTGATACGTGACCGGCCCATCTTAATTTCTTCTTAATTTCAACAATGATATTCTTGACTCCGGTTTCTTCCCTGACTCACTCTGCTTTCTTTAACATGCACCTAAATCTAAGCACACAAGCCTCAAGCATTTTCGCTTCCACCGAAAACGCTGCTGCTACGGCCAGGTGATGGCTAGAAGCAGCTTGCTTACAAAAGCTATCTACACATGTTAACCTAAACTTTCATCACCTACATTGACTTTGTACACATGCAGCATGAAACCCAGTTAAAACATGAGGGCTTTATGAGCCAATACTGTGACTGGAGTATGTGTGAGGCAAACTCTAGGTAAAATGTTCGTCACAGATTCAATTAGCATCTTTAGCAACTTTTCCATTTATACACTTAAGAAACAACATGAAAATTTGGAGAGAGCTTTGCACAGCTAGGCAGTCCTATTGTATGTCAATAATTTAAATTCAATGTCAGAGGTGTTTTATTTCAATTTATAGCTTTTCAATGTCTTTCATGGTAAGCGAAATTCACCCATTGTCTGCCAGCAGCGGACTGCGACTGCAAGGGCGACCATTGCACTTGACAGTAAATAAGGAATATATGTTTCACTCCAAGTGTGCACATACCATGAAGGTGTTGAAGAGGGGGATGACTGCAACTGGACTGTGTGTATAAGAGACACAGTGAAGAGACGGTAGAAAGTGGACCTTCATCCTTTTACAAAGATGTTTGTTTATTTGCTGTAACCAGTATGTACATAGCCCCTACGTGACATCACGGATGCAGCTTCTGAATGTACTGGTACTCAAGGATGGTGGCTTTGATGCCAAAGCGGCTAACCTAGTTCAATGTGACGGCATGGCTGCAATACTTCATTGTGTGAATATATAAAAAACGGCAGCAAGGGGAAGACAGACGTTTGAAATGAAGAAATCCGTAAAAAGAGTTGTGTGCTCGATCTGAGGTTTGGACAATTGCACTAGTCGTCTTCAAGGCTAGAATTGATTTTATTAGGGCTAGCGTGTATGTGCTTCGTACCCTCTCCTACAACCTAACAATGACGGGGGAAAGGCGATGCCCCCCCCCCCCCCCCCCCCAATCCATGGCTGCCATAAACTTCTATGTCTCCTTATGCTAGAGCTTCAACACAGTGATTTCAATGCTGTCAATGTGAGGTCATCTGTAAGTTTCCAATTTTATTTTTCAAACTGAGCTCTGTGCTCTCAATCTTTCACAAGAAGATTGCAAATGCATTGGCTACACCTGGATAAAGAGAAATGCAAACTTACCAAGCCTGACATGTCTACGTACCAAATTTCCATGGATTGGAAGCTCAAACAAGCCGCTTTCAGCAGCAGCTGTACTTGATAACAGAACTAACCGCTGGCCAATCGACGGGCTGGGGCGGCAGATTGTGTTGCACAGCTGATAGCATGCTAAGGCTGTTACACGAGACAAGGGCCTGATCACACACTCTGCGCTGTGTTTACCCGAAAGCGATCCGACCTATGGAATGCCTCGGCGACACGAACCATCTGCACGCATTCACCGCAACATCTATCCACGACGCTCTCGCACGGAGTTGGAGATTTGACACGCTAAATAATGCACGTGCTCTTGAAAGCTGGAAGACTTCCCCGACCGCCTCATTTGTAACGCGTACGGGTGCTGAGAAAAAGAATTCCGCAAGCACCTTGTGGGGTACATGCACGACATGCCCTCTTGGCAAGGACGGGGCCATCCGTCTGTTGTCGACATCGGTGTTTGGCCAAGACGCGAGGCCCGAACGGCACACTGCAGGGCGGCTGAACTACTGTTCTCAAAATAAGTGATACTTCGCAAAGAGGCAGCAACCTCTGAGGCAAGCTTGTTTTCGCCGCAGGGGCGCTGCATATGCAGTGAACGACGACAGACTGGGCGCCAGTCCAAAAGTGCCCTGCCGCCGGGTTCCGCGACTACACATGCCCTTCCTGCGATGAACAACGCGCCGGCGAATTCCCGAGTGGCGTATCTGCTTCTACAAAACAGCGACTGAAGCCAACGTTTGCTTCAGCCATCTGAAGCTCAGAATGGAAAACTCTGTTCTCTGGTGCGTACCGCGCAAGCCGAAAACAAACGAAAACTAGACGCACAGTGAATGAAAGCCTTCTCTGACAGGTTGCCGGAATTAACGCAATAAACAGTCCTGCAAACAGAGAGAAACGCGAAAAATGAGGCAAACGCGAAACAACCGAAACCACTCTGAACATAAGGTAAAAGGAAGCACCCGATGCCTTCGATTTACAATGCAATCTCAACATTGTGTAAGTTTAATAAACAACGCAGCAGTGGCTCTTCCTGACGCGTTACGCAATGCAACAACGCCAAAGCGTAAATCGCGTTGCTCCGAAACGACACCATTCATCGCATTACATAAAACGTAGCCGCCAACGCCGCTGTCCCTTTGTGCGCGTTTGGGAGGGTACCACGCAGTCGGCGATCCAGTGCACTCGCGCTCCCACTTCTTCCGTTGCTTGGGCCGGAACGGAAGCGATAACTAGTCACATCGACAGCCGGGATGGAAACTGCTGCGATACCCAATTTAGCGTAAGGCCTAACTCACCGACTCATGCTGAACGAGAGGCTTCGCCTGGGGCGACTTGGCCAGCTTCTTTTCCGTCAAGGGTTGCGTGATGATCGTCATCTTTCGATGATTTCCGCTGTCAGTGCGACAGACGGATTACAGAAGAAACGGTCGGAACAGCGATCCAGCAAGGCTCGGCGACTGGCAGTGGCTGTCCCTTCGCTTTGTTTGGTTTTGCTAGTTTTGCTTTGATAAGACGACCTCTCCGGCCGCGGCGCTTCGCGGTTGACGATAGAAACGACTGAGGCGCTAGGTACCTTGCTGCTACTCAAAAGTCCCCAATTTTCTCTATGCGCACTTGTTTGCACCAACGCCTCCTAGAAAAACTATGCCTGGAACGTCGCTCTCTTTTCAATTGAGAGCCTCCTGCCAGCACGCAATCTTGGAGGCCATGCCTTCGGCCTTGTGTTGCGACCGGCCGCCGTGTGAGACCGCTCGCCTCCGTTCTGTCACGTGACATAATAGCTGCTCGGAGGCAACTGTGAGAGCATTGTTGTGTTCGCAAAGGGCAGCAGGTGTTCTGTGGGGCAGCCGTCACAGACGCTCGCCTTCATACCAGAGGAGGAGAGTAAAATCAGAGGGTTGGGCAGCGCGTTCGCGGCTCACGTTCCAGGCATAATTTTTTAGGAGGCATTGTTTGCACACACAACCTCGTGTTTGCATTGAAATGCTAGGTACTGGAGCGTATGGGGAAATTTAAGGACTTTTGAGCGGCAACGAGGCTTTTCTCCGGTTTTCGCACTCACTTGCGCTACGCAATAAAGAGCCGATTTCCAAGCTTATAATTATTCTTTTTATTCATTGATTAGAATATGTGCGCAAATGAGATAACGAATAAGTTTATTTTGTAGGTGTTAGTGCAAATGTGTGAACGTTTGAAATTTGTTAATGAGTTAGCGCACAGAACACCTACCAGCGTAAGGATACACGTCACTCACTGTGCACCACCGTGTACCGTGTTTTCATGCAATTAACGAGTGTGTCATCAAATGCCGGTGATTTCCTAAGAAGCGTGAAGTGTTGCGCAGCGCTATGAGATGCATTTGTCATATAACTGTTTAGAATCAGCTGCGCATATATTTCAAGATGTCCAATATACCTTGGCATGATCAACGCATAGGCGTGTGAATCGTGTGCTAGTTTACTTCTTGTAGATGGACACTTACTAATCTCTTCGTTACGAGGATCCGTGTTGAACTGAAAAATGGGTGATGAACCCGTGGTAGTGGAGGAAACGGGTCCTACGGATCTTGATGACAGCTCGAACTGCGAGTTATTTACAAATGAAAGCCCGCAAGATGATGACATTCACATGAGCGACACGGTTGCAACGTCCTTCAACTACTGCATAAAGCCCATTCAAGTGTGCGGCGCGTGGAAAGCATTTACTAAAGTCATCACGAGGGGATGTAAATGGTAAATTACATTGATTTCGCTCTTTTCTTATCGTATTTGTGTACATGTAAGTCGGAACACAAGCGGTGAGACTTCATTGTCACTATTATTTTCTCTTCTTTTTCCTCGTGGAGGTCTCCTGATGGATCGTGCCTTTTAACGAACAGCGACGATTGCTGCCTGCGGATTTTCAACCTTCCTACGGTTCTGTGCCAACAGCAAATTGACTGGAGTGAAGTGGAAGAGATGGTGAAAAACACTAAACTATGCCTTATGACCGCATGCTTCACTACTGCACCCACTATTTGACACCATTAGATGGCTTAGAGAGTCTCGAATAATTCATTATAATACCGGTTCTACAATGTTTACAGCAATTGTTTTCAGCGATGAGTTACTGCCTGCAGTTTATTTGGTTTCTGGTCACACCATGTCCAACCATAAGTCGGCAAAAAAAAAATGTGGAGCTCGCTCAGACTCACTCAAGAAATACATTTTGTTTTTGGGACTGATTTGGACTCGGGCTCACCAAAAGCTTTCCTCGACCAGATTCACTCGCTACACTTTTTCTCAGCCGGACTCGCTTGAACTCTCCAAGTTCGAACTCACTCAGACTTATGGCTCGATGCGAGTCCGGTGAGTTTACTCATAAGTGAGTTTGCTTATTTTTGTGTTGAGCACTCCACAAAGCTGCAAACAACTTATGTTTATGCCGGCTGAACATGTCTGAAATCCAGATTACTTTCGTACTCCGATGACATTTTATGATGAATTAGAAGAAGAATTCACTTGAATCTGCTCTCTAGAGATGCCGTTGTTGAACCAAGATCTATTAGTTTGTGTGTCCTACTCACTCATTTGAGAGCTTTAGATGAAGGAACGCAAAGAGGCTTGCATATGTATACTACTTGGGTTCCAGCGGAAGTCAAGTTGTCATTGAGGTCTTGTGTCCTCCTGGTCAAACACACTCTTCTAACAAGACGGTCAGCTTCTGACGGCTGCAGAGGTCCTGTCCTGTGACATATGCCAGGGACAGTTTGTACTTAAGTGATGTTCCAACTAAAGGCACTTGTTGCGTTCAGTTTACTGTTCTATAGGCTTAGCAGCATAAAGCTACCACCACAGTCCCAGTGGCTTTGCAACTTACCTTACACCTCACTCTTCTTGAATTGCATAAATGAGTGCCTTAAAGGGGTGGTGTCACCAAATTTTGAGGCTATCCCAAGCTTGTTGTGGATTTTTTCTGTATACAAGGACTCTCCACACGAAGGGTCGGACCCTACAAACACGTACAATATATTTTAATTCACTTCTGAAATTGTAGCTGAATGCTCACTCTCGTGATCTAGGCCCATCGCTTGCACAGCAGCACTGACGTTTCAAAATAGGAGAAGCAACAGCAGTTGTCGTTACGTCACACCAGGTCTGTAGTGACGTGAGTGACCTCCCCCATCTCCGAAACGAGCGTTCCCAACATACCAGCAATGCATCGGTTGCTGTATTACTCGCAGAGTTTCGATCACTTCTTGGCTAAGTGCTACGCATCGAAACCTGCGAAGGCGTTCTTTTTTTGCTGGCGCTTGTGTAGCACCTGTGTGTGAGAGCAGTCGAAATTCAGCACGATGCGCGTCACAGCCTTGAGTGATCACGTGGCCAAGCCACCTATGTATTGACGTCACTGCCCAACTCGGCGCCGCGAAACCGAAACCGAAAATGGTCCACATAAGTAGAGCAATATTGATTTAGCGGAAGTACAAGAATCTTGGTGCGTGCATCATGCTTCTTGGAGCTGAAGGGAAACGCTTAGAGCAAAGAACACGCATGCCACAAATTTGGTGGCACCAACCCTTTATGTCTCTGCAATGATGGTTGTCAAAATTTTTGTTTTGCCAGGAGTTCTTAAAATAATTTAATCACATTTCCAGGTTCCTGTAGTGAAATGCAGTGAAAGTGGCCTGATATATGACTACGCTTGGTTCCCTGGCATGAATTCCAATGATCCAGCAACTTGTTGGTATGTGATAAAATTCATACACCACTGCAAAAAGATTGAACTTTGCAAAGTTAAAAAAATGGCGAACGCGATGAATGAAGTCTTTAGTGACATGAGAATGAGCTATTCCAGTAATAGCATAGCTCAAATGCTTAGCAAGACAGAAAGGAGCTTCATGCGTATGTGGCCAAGAAAACAAGTGCTGCATAATGAAACGAAGTATGTGTACCTATTTCAATAAGATGCTTGTTGTGTCAGCTTTTTATATTACCATTGGAACTGGGGATATCAGCTTGCAGGACAGATTGCTTGAGCAAAACGGGCTCTTTTGAGCGAATCGATACTGCTGATGTTGGGCACTGCTTTTAATTCATTATTGGTTGTCATATAATTGTACTTGTTTATCACAGAGAAGCTACCACAGCTTACCTCCTTTAGGGCCAGTGATACCTTGCCACTTTATATTAGACGTTACTTTTCAGGTGATACATCTGTTGATGAACAAAAGCCATTGTCTTGTTGTAACAGCTGTCATAGAACAAAAGCCATTTAAGGTGCCATTGTTTGTCTTGTTGCATTTCATTTTCTTTAGGCAGTGTTTTGCACTTAATTTCAGCTTTGCAAGCACAAGTACAAGAAACCCCATCCACCTCTGGGATGCATACACAGGCGAGCTGCGGTGCTCTTACAGGCCATACAATCACCTGGTACGAAGGGGTTTTTCACAACAACCACTTATACTGGGACAAGCACCAAGATTGTGCCAATTTTCTTTGGCCTTCTAATGAAATAGCTGCAATCTCTTAACAGCAATAGGCATGCAGATATCTTGGAATGCCAACTGCACTCAATATGGTCAGTGCAGAACGATGGTAAATTTCATTCCATTAGGCATGATACATGGGCATAATCATAAAACATGACAGCTTGCCTATGGTGTGGCAGGCTACATTGTTGAAAGAGCCATACTTTAAAGACTATGCAATGGTAGTATGCACTCACTTATGTGTGGGCATGCACATGTGGTCTGAATATCTGTCTGTATTTACAGCTAAATATTCGAAATGTATGCAGTAAAATTCAGTTCCCTTATGGCACGTTTGAATTTGCATTTGATTCGGTCTCAATATTGGTATTCATACATCCCTAGTTTTATATCAAAGCAACAGAAGTTCTGCAAACATATTTTGTCATTAGTCTCATAGATTGCGACTGTAGCACACCCTTGCCATGTAAACAGAAGAAAGCTGTGCATACTGCTAGCTACTGCATCACTGACATGTGCCGTTCATGACAGATGAATACAAATTCACTGCAGTAAGTAGGCCTGGTTCTGTGTTGTGTTAGCAAAAGTTTCCTTCTTTAGTGGTGTTTGCTTATTACCCTGTGGAATATGACTATAGTCGTATACCACACTAGAAGCCTGCGGCATTTCCTCCTCGAAGACGGACACACACAGGCCTGCGCCAATGTGCGCTGCATTCCACACGGACGCCATGAGCTGGATGGCCAGTAACGTCACCACTAGAGAACGCTGCCTTGTTCTTGAGTGAAACTACTACTTTAGACACGAACAAAATCGGCTGACGCGCTTTGGTTGTCTGGGCTGTCTGTGCCTCTGTCTATTTCTTAAAGGGGTGTGGTAGGGTTAGTGGTATATGTCAGTTTTTTCATATTATTTTAAAAGTGGCTGCAAGCATTCACATTAAATTTCGCATGCTCACGAAAAATGCCGCTGGGTATCGCGTCACATATTTTTTTATGCCTACGCTGCTTATTTTCCTTTCTATGTCTCACTCCTAAATTTTGAAGTGGGTGCACTTATTCGATGCACTTTTTCTCTGCAACCACTGAAGGGAATGCAATCATATTCAGCCGTGCTATTGTATATACACGTAGGTTATATCTGAACTAAAAAAAAAAAAAGGCCATCCTTGAGGGAGTTACTGTAAAAAAAAAAATATCTGTATTCACGAAGCAACAGAGGGTGCGTAGTGCTGTGTAGTTTTCTATAGCATCACTTTCTACGAAATCAGCAAGTTTTTTAGTTCAGATTGTTTCCAACCTGTAGCTCATACATGCAAAGTTTTATCAGAATTGATTCAATAATTTTCGAGAAAAAGTACATTGGAGTCCGAAAATTAAAAAAAAAACGCAATGTGAGAAAAGCGAAGTTTTATGTGCGTGTACTGCTTACGCCAGAGGGTGCACAGCCCACACTTTGGCGCGGCATTTAAAGCGCTTGGGGTGACCGCTCAACATCAGACTTTCACAAGTTTGTTTTTCAAAGTGCAGTGGACTTTTCCTTCTCAAAATTGTGAATTCATTTTTTTTTAAGTGGGGGGGGGGGGGGGATGTTCATTTTACCATACCTTCTTAAAGGGGCCCTGCAGCACTATTCTGACGTTTAAGGAGACAGGGCAAGCAAAAATATTGATCTGCAGCCTATTGTGAACCACAATCAGTCATTTTTTTTTCTTAGTTCTCTAAAAATGTCATATTTCAAAACTTGTGTGGTGGCCTGCCATGCCCTTAATCTTACATAGCAAGGGATTCCTTGCAGTTCAAGCATCATAGCCATATGGAGAAGTTACAGTTTGGAAACTGGGGTGCGTTTGGCGCATTCCGAAAAGAATGGGCACAGAACTGCGAAAACGAAAGAAGGCAGGGGCATCATGCTTTATGTTGGTAAATCTATAACTGGTAAGGAACGTTTTAGTGGTGTCATCATTGGCAAGTACTAAAACTATCATCATTGGGCCATTAAAAGTAATACAGCCAGCTTGGAGGACATTCAAAAACCTGACCAGTCTACATATTTTCATCATCAGCCTGACTACGTCCACTGCATGACAAAGGCCTCTCCCACGTTCCGCCAATTAACTCGGTCCTGTGCTTGCTGCTGCCAATTTATACCCGCACACATTCTCATCTCATCTGCCCACCTAATATTATGTCTCCACCTAACACCGCTTTTGCCTTCTCTGGAAGGGCCCCAAGGTTAGTTACCCTAATACCAGCGGTTATCGTGGTCTATGTCGCTACATGCCCGCCCATGTCCATTCCTCTTCTTGATTTCAACTATGATTTCCTAACCACCGTTTGGGCCCTAATCCCTCTGCTATCTTCTTGTCTCTTAAGGTTACACCTACCATTTTTTTCTTTCCATTGCTCGCTGTGTCGTCCTCAATTTAAGCTGAACCCTTCACATGGCATCAAAGGATACCAATCAATCCCACGGCCTTTGTTCGAAGGACACCTAAACTAGGCGCAAATTCAATAAAGCCCAGTTGACTGGTGAACCATCTGTTCATAAAGAACACCTTCCAGCATCTGCTATTGAGGCTCTTGAGCCAAATTGTCTGCAACCAGCTCATCCAGAATTACTTGCTAAATGTCTACATGGGAAAACTCAAAACCATAACGAGTCGTTGGGACCATAATAGTCGTGTGGGAGCGCACCCAAAAAAATATGTGTTACTCGAGCACAACACTGTGAATATGCACTTTTGATGCTGTGTTCGCTTTTAATGATAGAAATATAGCCCGTGTGAATGTGCTGAACTATTTTGGAATTTGGCCAGAGCACTGCACAGTGCAGGGTCTACGCACCCTTGAACTGCGTCGACAGTACTTTGCTGAGAGCGTTGCACACCAGGCGAAAAAGGAGGCTTGCCCGGCAAGAGTTTAATGCAAAAAGAAAAGATGATATTGGTGACTGGCTGGTGCCAATCGAACGAGTCCGTCAATTTTCTATTGTCTCATTGTACTTTTAAAATAATGCAATTTTTCAACTTCAAAATGGGATTATCTCAAAACATGCTTTTTTTGTAGTTACTTTTATTTTTGTCAGCAACCACAGTATCTAGAATCATAGATTTCAGCCAGTATTTAGATAATGTTATAGTGAATATGCTGAAGCATAATTATTATTGTGTTAGAAAGTGCTCTTCTGCAACACGATATCAAATAACAATTATTGAGTAATAGTTGTTTACCTGATGTAAAAGATTTACAAAAGTGATCATTACAATTTTCAGTTGTGAATCTGCTTCATTTAGAAGAGGAATGACTCATGATCGCAATGATAGTAAAATAGTTACTGTAGCTCGTATGGCTATGGAGAAAAATGTATATAAACTTAGGTTAAAATGCTTGGCAAATATAGGGCTTACCCTGTTTCCCTAATGGAATAGTCTTAAAATTAGCACGATACTTCACAAATCGGCTGCCACAAAAAAAATTTTAGAATTTGTTATCAAGCGAACTTACGGGTATTGGGCGCACACTCCAAGCACTTTCACTCTCCTTTTGTACTAGCGAGCCTGCCAAAAGCTACCCAGGCGTTCCTTCATCAACACACTTCATGACGTTGAGCATGTTCTTCTTTCTTTATTGGGGGGGGACGTAAAGCCCCACATACAACTGATCTCCAAGTACTCTGCTCACAGTGCTTGCTTCACAACTTGCGAAGCTTTGTGTTGGCCCGCAAGCAGTTACTGCACCTTCATCGCACAACATGATGTCTAGTGTACCTGCATATTTACTTTCAACAGAAAGGTGTTATCAGTTATGTAAGTTGGAAGTACAATGTATGCATCGATCATGTATCTCTTGGCAGAGCGTCTAAATGTAAACAATCTAACGAAGGTTCACTTTACTCGCCTTAGTTTCTAACATGTAATACTTTCTTGCTTTGATGTTACTACCCATTCTGTTTGTTTGCAGGACGAGCCTGTGGCAGCGCACAGTATAGGTTTTGACAATTTTGGCGAGAAGCTGTACTGTGGGTTTGACAAGATGGTGCGGGTATTCAACGTGGACAGGCCTGGGAGGTGTTTTGAAGAGCGTCCAACAAATGGTATGGTGACATACCAGCCTTCAAAGCTTCAAATTCAATGCAGAACTGCTTTATGCCTAGGCTTGTGCAAATATTTGAATGCTTCCAATATTCGAATGAATTGTAGGGTATTTGAATTTGCTTCGATTCGAATTTAAATTATTGAAAATTTTGAAGTATTTGCAAGTAACCAATAAACGCATAATAATTCAAATGTATTGCTTGTAAAGGTGGTTTTACTGCAGTGTAGGGGTGTTGAACCGTGAAAGCATTTGTCCAGAAGAAATTTACTCTTTCGCGAATGTTCTTTTCAAATTTAAAGGAGCCCTGCAACACTTTTTGAGCATTGTCATAGAACGCTGCCGATCGGTAGTCTAGGCTTACGAGCACACGCCAGCCAAATATTATAACACAGCACGTGGGGTCTGATTCACTGTTAAATTCTCAAAGTCAGCTAAAGATTGCTCTATCTCTGGGCAAATAACTCCACAAGCTCAGAAAGCACATGTCATGTATTAGGGACGAAGCTCCTTATGTCACGGCTTGTGCGTCCCTTGTCGTAGTGCGTAACCACCGATGGCAAATACTTAAAAGAGCGGTCCTTAGAATGTCCGCTGGATGGCGGCACTTGTATATGATGAATGCATCATGAAAAGATGTGAAATGACTATACTTCAAGTGTTCACCCGATAGACGGGTGGACGGACGGACAGACAGACAGAGAAGCGGATGGACAGATAGACAAACGCTTTGCCCAATCATAATTCACGCCGTGGATATGCTGCGATTTTTTTTATTTTTCTGTTCCATCCCTCCCAGATTAGCTTCCACTGGTTTCATCGGGACAAGGAGAGAGAATGCACTTGCAGGGTGCGAGAAATCTTTGGGACTCCGCTCATACTGGACGGATTCTAATAATATTTGCGGTGGTGAATTCATGAGGCAATAAATAAGCTTCTTTAGTGAATCCATTGCATGGCTACTTGGGGAAGTGTCGCACGGCCCCTTTGAATGAAAATATTACTCTCAAATCAATTCATTTTGTTAGGCTTAAAAGTTAGTTATGACTGCTTATATGCTCTAAGTATAATTAATTTTAAAATGTTACGTATTTTAAGGGTTATGACTCACATCCTGATACTACTCAAAGTTCTTTTGACTTCTTTTGAATGAAAAAAGAAATGGCATTTGCATAGAAGCCCTATTTCAATTAAAAAAAAATATTGTGCTGGTTAGTTAGATCATTATAGATATGCTCATTTTTCTTTATATGTCATATATATTATACGAATTTGATTCGAAATTGTTAGACCAAAATAACTGTTCACTTCGAACCTAAAATTCACCATTTACACAAGCCGACTAGGAAATCTTAATGCGCCTCCCGAACATTTGTCATAGTACTGAAATTGTTTGAGGGTGCATGTCCGAATTGTCTTATCCTTGCTTAAGTTTGAAAGCTCTTAGGCAAAATTTTAAACACTCGCAAGCTGAACATTTAGTTTTTTCCGTCATTTCAACATAAAGTAAATGTTTATAAAATAAATGTTTATGTAGATGCTTATTGTAAAATCTATAAACTAAACCAATGTTTGATTTGTAAACTACTTAGAAAGAAACTGAAGTTTGACGCTGTGTCATCTATGTCTTGCCTAGTTATAATAGCTTTACTGAAGAAATACAAATGTGGCAGTTTTATACCAGGCAGAAGGTTACAGATTAGGATTACTGACTGTTGTAGTGGCTGAAATTAGATTTGGGCAATATGCTGAGGTGCTTCTTTACTTGTATTTTAGGCACGTGTGAAACACCCTAGTACGTTAAATTTTCTATGTGATGACAAAATTTTGGCTTCTTTTTTGTGCCTAAGTTCATTTGTTATGGTTTTAGAGTTTGTTTCTATTCAGCCTACTTTAATTATCAGACTGGCATTTTTGTGAAAACATTGAAGTTACATTGACCGACTTTATGTGTAAAGCAATAAAACAGTGAATTTCAATTGAAAGAATGCTTCCTTAGACCAGATTTATACATGCAGCAATGTCATAGCTATAACATATGAACAAATTCATGTCTGGATTTTGATTGTTTACGAATCTTAGCTTTATACCTTTGGGTACTTTAAGGAACACTGTGCAAATTTGATACGAAGAAGCGGTTAAAGAAAGATTCAGTTGTAGACATCTTGAGATTACTGCTGCTTTTTTAATACTTGTCCTCAAAATATGTCTAAAGGCATGCTGGTTCCACAAATAGTCGTGTGCAACAGTTTGCAAAGAGGTCATTTCTGGATGATGTTAAGTAGAATATTTCCAAAAGGCATTTCTTTCCTCGCAGTTTGAACTCTTTGAGGAAATCGAATGACCAGAATTGACTGCAACAAGTACATAGTGAGCTTTACAAGCGCATTGATGTCACCTTATATATATATTCATTGTATGACAAATTATTTGTTTGCTGCTCTTTTCTTTGCCACTCTGTTGTAATGTTTGCCGTACGTATTACTTTTCGCTTTGCAGTGAAGAAGTTGGGTCAACCTGGCATCATCAGTTGTTTTGCGTTTAGCCCCCTTGGTGTTTATGCTGCTGGCTCCTACTGCAAGACGGGTACTGTGCACATTTGCCAAGCACATTGCTGTCTATTAATAACTTGAGCTTTTTAACTTCTGTATTTATTTTGAAAGAATGCTCCCAAATGAGCAGTTTCATAGATAATGGATTTTAAAATTGGCATTAGAATAAACAATGTAGAAGCATTCTAAAGATATTATTTACCAGTAAATAGAGAAATTGTTTGAGTATTGGAGAAAATTGGCTTTTTTGCAGAGCTTGTATTTAGTCCGCCTTATCCTATTGTGGTGGAAAATGATGTTTGCATACCTGTATATGCGGAAGCTTCCGAAGGCACACTAGATGTTATGATAATAGCGCGACCGTGTTAAAGCGTTCATTTCGCAGATATTTTCATGTGAGTGCTGGTATCCTCTTGAGTGAAAAATCATCTTGTCCATGACCGAAAAACTGCAAAAGATGCAAATAAAATAAACAATAAACATCTTCCATTAGAGTCAGAATTGAACTCGGGTTGTTTGCGTCGAAAGCCGGCGTTTTATTACAGAGCCACGCTATTGCTTGAAATTGCTTCAGAAAAAACACTATATGAATGTCATAGCCGAGAGAGTCTCCTTAACGCATGTAATATCGCACGGCAGGTGTGTAGAATCGTGCCAGGCATCAGAACATGTGAATTGCACCTTGAGTGGGTGTTCTAAAGGCCCACTCATCACAAAGCACTCAGAGGTTCGTGTGCTGTCTTACAGACGCATAGTCGGCCCTTCGATTTGCCAAAAGAAAAATTATGCTGTATTGGGCACTTAACAACTGCACCGGCGGTAGACGTTCGAGGATAGTTTGAAGCGGCCAACGCTGCATGCACAGTCATTCGTTTCTTTGTGGCACGGTTCGGACATGCACCGAGAACCGAAGCTAGGCTAGCAAATGAGTTGGCGGTGTATTAGAAGGCCGATTACACAACATATCATGTTCTGCTTTTGAAGGTGAAACTCAAGTATGCTGCAAGATTTTGCAGAGCCATCTGTGCATCTCCTTCACAATTATGTAGTCACCATCCATGACTGTGTAGAGAACTGCTGCGTTTTCTTTTATAATGGTTCCAGCGAAGATTAGGTTAGGTATCGTATCAGTGTGCTTTGGTTGTGGCTTTCTAAAACATGTGAGTTGTTATTCACGATTATGGTGATAGTGACCACAGTTTTGTTCGCTGCTGATGAGACGTCATGAGCAGTAGTTCTGTTCTGATTCAGTCCAATGCATGTGCCGTGTCAGAAACATGGTAGAGGCTGTCAAGGACAGCGACCAATTTTACTGCAAGCTTTATGCTGGTATCAAACTCACTGGTCCGACTATGCATGGCTATATACATTATCTGGCTTTTAACTAAACAGAGGAAATACAGAAGGTTCGTGACCAGAAAGCTTCAATTTCTGAGCAAAGGCGAGAGTTCATTTTGAATGTCTCAGAGCTGGTAATAAATAGGTGGGAGTCAAGATGTAAAAGGTATAAATTGTCTTCATCTTCATGCATTTTCCTTAAGTTTGAGGAGGAACTCATTTCACTATTGTGTTTGTGAGATCCCCAACTCAACTGCCAAAGCAGGGGTGGCTCTTTCTTATTCTTGTACCATGCATAGTAACTTATTTTACAATGATGTGTCTTCGGCAGGATTGTTTGTTCCTTCAACACACTGGATTAGCTGTGCTTATGTATGCACATTGTTGTGTTCATTATGTTGAGTGCACCTGAGATAACCTACTTGTTTTGCATAGTGGCTGTCTACAGCGAGTCTGATGGAGTCCTACAATTCATCTTATCCGGCCACCAGGGAGGTGTGACTCACTTGAGGTTCTCGCCTGATGGACAGCGTCTTTACAGCGGAGGCCGAAAGGCATGTCATCTTGGCTTGCCTTACTTACGTTGACTATCATAAGCCATTCCATGTTTTGCGTTAATACGAAGGTAGCTTATACTATACCACAATGTCATGGGGCAAAGTAACAGTCACAACAGTTGCATTTTGACGAAGGTGAGATGCAATAACACTCATGTACAAAAAATTTGGTCTGGTTCAGAAAATCCCGAGAGGCCAAAAATTATCTGAAGTCTACCGTTATGATGTGCCTCGTAGTCATATCGTGTTTCTTGAAACACCTCAGAATAAATTTTTTTTGGGGTCAACTCATACAACACTGTTTTATCCTTCATGTAGCCCTAGGTATGATCTGGACTTGCTCATGGAACTTCAGTGAAAGTCTTGCCTTCATTTCTTTTCTGGTAATCAAGCTATATATAATATGGAAAGATAAAAAAATACTGTTATTTAAGGAATTAGCTGTTGTGCTATTACTGTTCATTTAACATTATTGCTTCCAATCTCGAGAAAACATGGGGACCGATACATGCGCAAGCTTTGTCGATCACAAGTATACTCGTTTTGCATCTTTAAATCACTCCCCTGTAACTTGCGAGACAAATGGTGTAAAAAAGAAAAGTAATTCAGTTGCGTACAGTCGTCTATGGAGAGAACATATAAACCAATGAAACACGTAGGAAAAATTATTACTTGCACATCATCATCGGCTTAATTTATTATTTTTCAAAAATTATTTGTCTTGTTAATTGATCACTTGCAATTAATGTTGCTTTTATTTTGATGAGATAATCTCATTAATATTTTTACATAATCTTAAAAGCATCCTACTGCATTGCCAACAAAATGTGTTCAGGTAACTGCAGAAAAAAAAGTGGCATAAAGTGTGCAGCACCTCCAAGAAGATATATCGGCAGTAAAAGGGTTAACTTCACATTCCTGTTTGGCTAGGACAGTGTGATCTCATGCACAGTGTGGTGCTGAGGCACCTACGATCTCACGGCATGGCATTGAAGCTATCGACTGTGGCCTCAATGCCATGCCATGTGACAGTACAGCTATGCAGTTTTTTGTCGATCTGCTTCGTGCCACAGATCCCTCAAACTTTTGCGGGGTTGTCTGTCTCGGTGGTGTACCGATTACTGTGCTCAGCTGCCGACCCAACGACCCAAAGGGTGCTTGTTCGATCCCAGCTGCAGTGGTTGCGTTTCGATGGAGGCGGGATGCTAGAGCCCCGTGCACTGCGCGATGTCGGTGTGTGTCCATATGGTCAAAGTTCCCGGGGTCCTCCGCTACAGCCTCCCTCGTAATGACGTCATCGTTTTTGGATGTAAAACCCCAACAATTAATATTCAACTTGCATGGGTCAGAGTACATGCATTGTGCGAGCCAGTGGTTCTCAGAATTTCTCATCTTGGGGAACCGACTAGCTTTTCAAGAGGGCTGGATGCAGAATTCATCTCCTCTTGCGCTTAGTGTGCTTATGCACAGATTCACAATATTGTTACGGGGTCGGTGACTTCTATACAAACGCAATTAAAGAGGAACAACTTCAGGGAAGAATCACAATGACTGATTGGCACACTCCCGCACCTGTCAGCTGATTCTGCCTTTCCTTTTCTTTTACTTCATCTCCGTAACAGGACCCCCGGGCAATGGAGCGCCGTCTCGGCGCTCGTCTGGGAAAGTGGGACGAAAGTAGGGTTTCATGCGCGAAACTTGGACAATGTCAACAAGTGATGAACTTGGTGATGTATTGGAGTGCAATGGCGTTATCTCGTAGTTGACGTCGCTAACTTGGCGTAAGACTAGGTAGGGTCTGGCGTATCGGGACAAAACTTTTTCGGAGAGACCTACACGGCGACACGGTGACCAGAGGAGCACGCGGTCACCTGGGGCAAACATTATATTGCGATGCGGGTGGTCGTAGCGGGGTTTTGCATATCTTATGACCTGGTGAGACGAGACTGGGCAACTTGACGAGCCTTGTGAGCCTGATCAATGGCTTCGCGAGCGTACTCGGAAGCAGATGGCTTGAGAGGTAAAGTGGTTTTAAATGGCAATATGGGGTCGCGATCATACAAAAGATAAAAAGGTGAGAATTTCGTGGTGTCATGTCGAGATGAATTATATGAGAAAGTCACATTGGCCAACGTGATGTCCCAGTGTCGATGATCTTAGAAGACGTACATCGAAAGCATCTTTGTGAGCATGCGGTTGAGACATTCAGTTAGGCCATTAGTTTCTGGGTGGTAGGCGGTAGATAGCTTATGCGCTGTAGCACACGATCGAAGGAGGTCGTCGACAACTTTGGACAAGAAAGAGTGGCCGCGGATGTAAGCAGCTGTCGGGGTGCACCGTGGCATAAGACGACGTTGTGAAGAAGAAAACCCGCGACATCAGTGGCGCAACTGGTCGGCATGGCCTTCGTTATTGCGTAACGAGTCGCATAATCTGTGGCGACAGCGATCCATTTATTTCCCGGTGTCGTCCCCGAAAAGGGCCAAGAAGGTCGAGTTCCATGCGATTAAATGGTTCAGAGGGGTCTTCGATTGGGTGAAGATGTCCAGCTGGCAGCAAAGAAGGTCTTTTCCGGCGCTGGCAGAGATCACAAGTGGCGACATATCGACGCACGCTGTGGTACAGTCCTGGCCAGAAGAACCGACGTCGCACGCGGTCGTATGTGCGGGAAACACCGAGGTGTCCCGCTGTTGGTGCGTCCTGGAGTTGTTCAAGTATGGCAGGCCATAGATGACGGGGATTGACAAGCAGAAGCTCAGGGCCTTCAGTGTTGATGTTGCGACGGTAAAGGATGCCGTCATGCAGCGCGATCATACGGGATTCAGCGTCATGGCTGTTATACTGGATGGTGTCGATGATAGTGCGCACTAACTCATCCCATCGTTGTTCAATGCGCATATCGCTGATATCAGTAAACGCCATCACGCTGTTCTCCAGGTCAGTCGCAACAGGATCGGAAGGGTCCACCGGATGACGAGAAAGACAGTCTGCATCCTTGTGCAAATGGCCAGACATGTAGCCAATGCTAAACGAAAATTTCTGGAGCCTCAGAGCCCAGCAGCCCGGTCGTCCATTCGGGTCCTTCAGAGAAGTCAGCCAGCAGAGGGCGTGGTGGTCCGTAACGACAGAGAACATGTGACCATATAAATATGGCTGGAACTTGCGACGGCCCAAACTAAAGTTAAACACTCTCTCTCGGGGATGGAATAATTCCTCTCAGGGGGAGAAAGCAGGCGACTGGCGTGAGCTATTACGCACTGTCTGCCGTGGTGCCGTTCAGCGAGAACTGTGCCAATACCGTGGCCACTGGCGTTGGTGCGAACTTCTGTGGCAGCAGAAGGATTAATGTGTACAAGTATGGGGGCGTAGTTAAGCAGCCAATGAGAGTGGTGAACGTTTGAGCCTGCTCAGGGCCCCATGAGAATGTGGTATCCTTCTTCAGCAAATCTGTGAGTGGCCTGGCAACGTCAACGAAGTTTTTCACAATACGACGAAAGTAGGAACATAAGCCGATGAAGCTCCGCACGTTGAATGTAGAACAGGGCACCGGAAAGCTACGGACGGCGCAGATCTTTTCGGGGTCTGGTTGGACGCCATCGGCGTTTACAAGATGCCCAGAATGGTAATCTGACGGCGGCCAAATTGACATTTCTTGGAGTTTAGTTGTAGCCCAGATGTTCTGAAGAGTGCGAGAATTGTAGTGAGACAGGTCAGGTGGCTATCAAAAGTAGATGAAAAGACTATCACATCGTCTAGATAACAGAGACAAGTAGACCACTTATAACCACGTAAGAGAGAGTCCCTCATTCGTTCGAATGTGGCAGGGGCGTTACATAATTTAAAAGGCATCACCTTAAACTGGTGTAAACCATCCGGTGTAATGAAGGCCGTCTTCTCGTGGTCCATCTCATCGACAGAAATCTGCCAGTAGCCGGACTGAAGATCAATAGACGAGAAGTACGTAGCGCCGTGCAGGCACTCCAACGCGTCATCGATGCGTGGTAGCGGGTATACGTCTTTTCGCGTGATCTTGTTGGGGTGGTGATAGTCAACGCAGAAGCGCCAGGTATTGTCCTTTTTCTTCACAAGGACGACAGTGGAAGCCCAAGGACTACTTGATGGTTCTATGACACCTTTGTTAAGCATTTTGTCAACTTACGCGTGTATAACTCTGCGCTCAGTGTGGGAGACACGATAGGGGTGTCGGCGAATGGGACTGGCGTCACCAGTGTTAATACGGTGCTGAACGGTGGATGTTTGCCCTATAGGTCTGTCGTCGAAATCAAAAATATCGGTATACGACGCGAGAAGGCGATGGATGTCGTTGGCTTGCGCAGGATTGAGGTCGGGTGCAGTCATCTTCGAGAAACGGTTTGGCATAGAACAGATGCTTTTAGCTGCAGGAGACTTAAGTAAGTCAAGCTCGGTGGTGGGAGCCGCTACTTCGAATTCGTCAGCATTGGATATGCTGGCCAAGAACCTGCCACGAGGAGCACTTGAGGGCCAAAGCTGAAATTGAGAAGTTGGAGCGAGGTATATTTGTCAGTGACAGTCACAAGCGTATAGGGAATGGCGATGTTGCGCTCCAAGAGGACGTCGGCGAGAGAAAGGAGAACATATTGACTATCAGGAACCTGTGGCTGTGCGGTCAAAACGAGGTGGTAGGTGGCTGCCTGAGGTGACAGTCGCACATCCTGAAGAGAGCTCAGGCGCGGCGGGGCAGTGTGGTGTTCAGCGACTATCTGAGGCAGCTCTAGCTGAAGGACACCGGTAGCACAATCGATAAGAGCAGAATGATTCGACAAGAAGTCCAGGCCTAGGATAACGTCATAAGGGCAGTGGTCAATCACGGCTAAAATGACAGAAGTAGTGTGGTCCGAGAACCATCGGCCACACGGAGCATTTGTGCAGCCGCAGGTGTCAGAACTTTCTTTAAACGTGTGCATAGGTTTAAACTCATGACCGAAATGCTTGTGCCGGTGTCTACAAGTGCTTGTACAGGTACGCCATCTACTTCAACGTTTATTACACTTCGCCTGGTGGGAACGGAGAGAGGATTTGCTGCGGAAGTCGTCAATGCAGCACCACCTCCGAGGGCTGCATTTCTCAGCTTTCCGAGACGATGCGGCCGGAAGCCACGGGGGACGAGAAGCGCCATGGCTGCAGCGAACGGGGCGATGGGCGACGTATTTGTAGCGAACGAGACTGGTGCCCACGTGGCGAAGGCGAGCGGCTGTGCCAAGTGTTTCGAGAATAGTCAACGGCATGGGACTCTTCGGCAGGTGAAGATGTGCGGACGGTACCGCCGAAACGGGTCATATTGGTCGTTGCACGAGGTGCCGAGGACCATGTGTTGCGGCATTAACGAGCAATATGTCCAACACGGTGGCAGTTAAAACATATAGGGCCGTCATCTGCACTTCGCCACTCAGCCGGGTTGCAAGTACGTGGAGAAAACCGTCGGTCGGAGGAGGGCATTGCGAAAGGGCATTCGCTGACTCTGGGCGTGGTGACATGACACACGGAATGCACTCTGACGTTTTCAAGCTCCTGGCGCATGATGGCTTGAACATGAGAAACAGTAACAGGAGTGGTATTGGTACTGCGCAAATTGAATGCTGAGGGCGCCATTGCTTCCAGTTTGCGACCAACAATTCGTGTCGGGTCTCCCGGCGGCAACAATCGTTGTGGTGCGAACTGGTCTTCGCACGTCGATGTTGCAGCGGTGTTTGGAAGTCGGGCGAATGTTTGCAGAACGCGGCGACTTTTTACTTGCTCAAACTGACGACACTCTTTGATGATCGCGTCCACGGTGGAACAGCCCTTGCACAGCAGGAGATTGAACGCGTCGTCAGCAATCCCTTTCAGGACATGCCCTACCTTGTCACCTTCTGTCATGTCGCTTTCGGCCTTTCGGCAGAAGGCCAGCACGTCTTGAATTATGCGAGGTATGATTCCATTGGGGATTCGGCACGGCAGGCCATTTTCATTTTGGCAGCTATCTTACGACTGGCGCTTTTGCCAAACACCTCTCGCATCTTTTTTATGCATTGGTCCACACACCTTCACCGTTTCTCTCAAGTAAAACAGCACATTAGCCAACTGAAGTGTGAGATCCCATCTGTTCGGCATACTCACTCGTTCGAACATGGCGAACCAATCGTCAACGTCGACGCCATCGGTCCCACAGAATGTACCGGGATCCTTAAGTGGCGTGAAAACGTATGGTTGCGACGCCGTGTTTGTCGGAGACGCTGACATTGACGCGGAGGGCTCAGCATTGGCCATGGCTGGAAAAACGATGCAGCGTCCGCTGCGAAGCTCCGTTGCCTGATGGTTACCCAGCACCTCCCACCAATATGTTACGGGGTCGGTGACTTCTGTACAAACGCAATCACAGAGGAACAACCTCATGCAAGGATCACAATGGCTAATTGGCACACTCGCACGACTGTCAGCTGATTCTGTCCTTCCTCTTCCTTTACTTCATCTCCATAACAATATTGTCTGATGAAGACATGAAAAGAGAACGAGGGGAAAGGCAGGGAGCGTCAAGGGAAGTCTTGAATGCTGTGGGACACTCGAGAATCGTAAGACATCCCTCATTGTTGTGTTCGTGTGTTAGCAGATTGGACCAACAGTGTCAAGCAACGCTGACTGACCATAAGTTTCAAGCGACATTAGTTACTGGAGGCACTGACTGACGCTCCCTTGTTTAATGCACATATATAACCATGAAGTGGACAGGGGGATAGGCACCGTAATAGCTCAGTAGGTAGAGCATCGGATGCGTTATTCGAAGGTCACAGGTTCTTCGGCCCCTCCCCACAGCAAGTTATCTTTTTGTCCCCTTTTCCTTCTTCGCATTTACATTACAAGTACTTCTAATAACATCCCTTATACTTTCGTTGGCATGATTGTCTGTTAGGTCTTATTGTGTCTAACGAAAAAAATGGGCCCTTAAATGTACACTTCTTTCCTCCAAGCTAAGGTTATGTTATGGTTACATAGTTGCTAACTAATGCTGATGGTTTCTTATCACACTCTTCTTGTGTGCGACTGAGGTATGACACCTTTAATATGATAGGCAGCGGCCCCCACTACAGCAGTGTTGTGAAACAGCTATTGATCACCAGGGCACTGCTGCTTGTAAGCAACAACAGTTGCCCTGGGTGTTGCACAGTGCCGACGCCTAGAATAAGTATCACTAAACGCCATGTGAGCAGAGCAAGCACAACAATGTACCTCGCTTTTGTCAACTTTATTTCACCATTCGGGCAAAACTGCCAAGTTTGTACATTTTTTTCTAACCCTTTTACTCCTCATGTTCCAAGACAGCACAAGAACAGCTTGATTTAAACTTTCTTGTATTTGTTCTCTCTTTTTTGTTTGTTTGTTATTTGTCTTGATTCTGACTGTTGTGATGTCTCGGGGTGGATGCTCACAGGACGCAGAGATTCTTTGCTGGGACCTTCGTAATCTGGGCAAGGTCTTGTACTGCATGAAAAGGACTGTCACGACTCATCAGCGCATGTACTTCGAGCTGTCCCGGTGAGTGGTTTCGTTGGATTCATGTTATGGTTCATCTCTTACCAGTGCGGTTTCACAGGACTTCTATTTTTTTTCTGAAGAGTGCACTTCATGTCTTCTAATGGCATGGTTAACTAGAAAGTTGTGCTTACTTATGTTAACTAGTACTTGCGCTGCACTAGTGCTGCACTGGTACAATTTCAGTGAACTCGCCTGAGCCTTCGTGCCTTGTACAAAATTGCCATCACATTTAGCATTGTGTTATGTTTGACTCTGTTAAATAAATTTTTTTATAGTAAAGCTACTCTGAGTTTGCTGTGTGAAGCCTTATCATGCCCTGCACAGTGATTGCATTATTGGAGTTGCATTGACAGTACAATGCTTTGCACATGCTAACTGAGGCTTATGAATTAAAGGGACTAATCACTGGTCAGAATGTGTGATTGGACTCTAACAGAGAGGGAAAAACTGTTAATTGTAGAGACAGAATCAAGCATTATTTTCATGGTTTGAACAAGATTTGTCTTTTAAAGTACATTTAGAAGTCACAGAAACTGGTACGTTGCGTGGCCTGGTGGATGAGCCTTTGTACTCTGCAAAGATGCAATTCAGATTGCTGTACATGGTGTGCTGTCATTAAGTTGCACCGTAATTTACACATTAAATTACATATTGTGCATTAATTAATAGGCATCCCCACTTTATTCTGAGTTCATTGCAGTAATAATATCTGGGATTTAGTGTCCCAAAACAACAATATGGTTATGAAGGATGCCATAGTGGAAGGCGCCAGGAATTTGAACCATCTGGTGTTCCTGTGCGGGCACTCGCATGGCACAGTGCAGGGGCCTCCAGCATTTCGCCTCCATCGAAATTTGACCACCGTGGCTGGGATTGAACCCACGGTCAGCAGCCGAGCCCCGTAACTGCCACGACTCTGTGCTTATTACAAGGCAAAATTAGTCGATGCTGAGAAGTAGTGCTGGCTCCACAGCAACTAGAGAAAACATAAACCTGTGCCAAGCCGCAGCTTATGGAAGTGCACAAACAGAAATTGCAGAACCACAGAGGTCATAAACATGGCGCTACTTTTTATGGATAGGCCTTGTTTGTTTGCCTGCGGATTCTTGTTTCTGTCACACTGTCCTATCATTGTTCAGTGTGTGTGTTGCTTGTACGGCTTGATCAGTGCTGCATATTGTAAAAGTCTAGAAAAAATGTTTCACAATGCTTTCTATATGGCCATTTTCTCATGATTAGACACTCTGACAAGTAAGCTTTTCACTGTACTAAAGAAAATGGGTACCATAAAAATTAATTGCCAGTCCTTTGAAGGTGGTGCAACATAATGCAAACACAGGAATAAGTTGGCTTGGTCCAGTACAGCTCTATGCCCTGTGTCCTCACAGTTGAACTTACTGAGCCTGAATTATCTGTTTTTCATATTGCAGATCAGACTGAGATCATGCTCCCTCTTAGGTTGCTGAAAGTTTCGTTGGCTCTGTATTTGGAGCTCACTTTTTAATGATGAGTGTCACTATTTTCCATCTTTGTTGGTTTGATTGGCTTGAGCATGTCTTGCTTGCTGTACCAGTGTCACAGCTGGATCATTTGGCATGATGTGCGGTGTGTAAACAATGAAGAACAGTGTTCTCTTATGTCTTGTTCTCTCACAATCTGCTCTGTTGCTCGCTATGAGTCACCTTTGCATTAGCCTTAGTTTGAGCCACAGAGAGGATAGACGTTAGCTTCAAAGGTATTCACAGCCTTGCTTTATTCTGTGTTTTCAGGTGCGGGAACTTCCTTGTTTCAGGTAACAGTAATGGCATCGTAACTGTTTGGGACCTTCAAGTTGAACCGTTAGAGCTTGAAGACTGTGAGCCCCTCAAGAAACCGGGCCTTTTTTTTAAGGCTCATGATGACTGTGTAAATGGTGTCAGGTGAGAGAGCTGCCTGGCAATGGGCATTTGCCATGTTACTGGCCTACTGCCATACTAGCAGAGCTTTTATTACATGTTTTGTTGTGTTGCATAACATATACCTAGAAAGATCATGAAGGAAGGACCTTCGTAATCTGGGCAAGGTCTTGAGAATTTTGTGGCCAAACTGGTATAATGGTTCTTTCGTTACAAACATAATGTATCATGAAAATAGCTACACTACACTATTTTGAGTGACTTCTGCTTACCATTCCTAGCTTTAGATACTTTCTCCTTGCAAATTTGCAGCTGTGCAATTTCAGCTGTGCCAGTGTCTATTCATCAATGTCCGGTTCTCTTGAGGAATAACTGCAGGTATATTTCCATTTTACTTGAAAGGAATTGTGTTGATGTAAAGAGAGTTATAGTAACTGGCGGAATTTTATTTGTCTGGGACTCAGCTTTACAATGATGGGGGCTGTAATGGTACTATGTTCACTTAGTTCTGGATGTTCTTTGGCACTCAATGCACAAGCGTTTCTTGCATTATTTCTATATTAGAATGGAACCATAGCACCCTTGAATCGAACCCGTAACATAACAAAAAAATCCATCGAATTGTCACTCTGTGTTTGCAGATAGAAACGATAAGTTTGAATTGTACAATCACCCTTTTCTGTTGCATGGCGATTATTTTCATGTCACCCACTTCCAAATAATGTTGTGCAACCAAAGCAACTGTACTTGTGGATCATTCCTGGTGTAGAGGAGACCATCAACACCAATAGCTGCCTTCACTGACTCTTGCAACCATACAGAAGCGGCAGACTACAATATTTCCTCTGACTGGGGGCTTGGCAACGTCAACAGCAGCTATAGAGCACTGCCATTATCTTATGAATAACTCACTCTTTATGTAATGCTTCTGCTGTGCAGTCTTGCCCACTATGGCATCTAAAATAAATGTGCACTACTCTTCTGAGAGTCTGTCTGCATGACACCTGAAACCACCCACTGTCATCTGCCAAAGCTTTACAATTCTGCATTGATTACTGGATCTTGGCCCCAACTGCACATCGCAGAGATGCATTATACTGACATAGAAGCTTTGCTTAAAAGATATTGCCCCTAATTATCCGACAGTGGGCTTTTCTCAGCAACTCTGTTCACCAGAAGCGGAAAAAACCACAGGAAATTTCAAATAATTGGAGTTTCAAGATAAACAGAGTCTCACAAATACGTAACTTTGGTCATGCATAAACAGTCTGGATCCTATCCAAATTAGCAGTGGTAATATTGCCATGGAGGTCTCAGTGCGCCATCGCTGGACACATTGGCATCTACAAGCAAGTGCTTCATCTGGCTCTGTACAAAATCAACATTTCATGACAATTAACAAGTCCTCCTTTATAAAAGCAAAGCAAGATAATGGCATTTAGTAAAAGTATTGGCTGTTAATAACATAGCAGAAAGTAGTATGAAAGTACAAGGACTACTTTTTTTCAAGGTTCGATCGGTTGGAAAATAAAAAGCCAAAGTAAAAATTTAAACTGCTTTATTTGGGACATTTAATGGTCACAGATGCTTCTCTAAATAGTCACCGTTTCGATGGAGACATTTTTTTTTTTTAGTGTGGCACCAACTTTTTTATACCCCTTGTTGAAAGTAGCTGTCTGTGCTTTGAACCAGTTCTACATGCTTATTTGCAGCTCGATGTCCGAGTCAGAACTCCTGTAATCTGAGCCAACGTTTCATGAGAGTAAAGAGATGGTAATCAGAGGAAGCTAAATTTAGGCTACAGATTGTGGGTGATCGAACACTTACAACAGAAAACACTGCACGATCACCTTTGTTGCAGCTGCACTGTGCAGTCACATTTTTATAAAGGAGAACAGTGCCCCAAGAAAACATTCCTCTTTACTCGCCCTTTCTAGATGATAGAGTCACGCTGTATAAGGCTGCCACACCTTGCTATCAGTCATGGATGCTGTTCTGTACACATTACTCATTTGTTGACAAGTTTTAGCTGAGCTACACCCCTCAGCATGCTGAAATCAAAATAAAGCATGCACTTCAGACTGCGTGGCAGACTTTATTACCCGAGGCATGTTTACATGCCCACTGCACGCTCACAACCCAGAGCTGTGACCTCATGAGGTAGGCTTGCATACTAGAGAGATTGTGCTACATAGTATCTGCATGTTGCATCATCAGATTTTCACTTTGGTTTTTATTGGGTAGCCACTCAGACCTGGAAAGTATATAGGCTTCGTCATAGTACTACAGTCAAATCCCTCTACAACGAAATCGACGGGACGCATGAAAAAGTTCGTTGTCGCGAAATTTCGCTGTGGCTCAATTTCATCTATAGACCACAAAATTTGGTAAGATCTGATGATTATGACTCATGCTTTGTTCCCACCAAGCGCATGCATTAAACTCTTGCCAACTCAGACGTGCCTGGTTGAATACTAAGTGAAGGTTTTTTCTTGCGTATAACGTCATCAAGATATGCAGAAAATTTGGAGCTTAAGTCAAGGTGCAGGTTATACGAAAAGTTTGGTGCTCAAGTTGGTTTCACGGCACGACTTCACGGCAATTCAAAGAAGGCGGCCGTGCGTCAATACGCAGATAGTTTTTCTTTCTCCCGTGGTTTGCGATCGGGGGTGCCGAATATGTGCAGAGGTGGGTTATACAGAAGAAAATTTTTCAGGCGAACGCGTGTCGAGTGCACAGCGCCGCGAACAAGCTTGTCAAAGATTCGCTAATGGCCAACTGATAACTGCAAGTAAAAGTGTTGAAGCGTCACACTACCGTGGCCATAAATTAATGACAAAAAAGCCGTAACACTTCGTGTCGTTTTATGGCTTTATTGCCTTTTATCTCCGGCTGTGTTAACTGCACACCTTTGGATTGTACTCGCTGTCGATGAACAAGACGATAGCGACCGCTATTTTCTGCGCAGTGGTTGTGACAAACTAGTTCCGTTTGTAATTTGTGCGCGCTGCACTGGCCGTGCGCGTGATTAAGAACTGCGTCGTTGCTATCTCTGTTCACATCGTCAGGAAAAGAAATATTGGGTTGAGTCGGTGCGCGTTGACTGCACGCGTAGTTTTGTGGTCGCCTATAATTGCGTTCCACATGACCGCATTTATGTTTGCAGCGGTTGCAGCAGAATGCAGTTACTCTAGGACTAGGGGCACCCTGCTCGTGTGTGCGCCTTTACGATGCGTGGTTGTCATTCACGATGGCAGGGCTAGTGATGACGAGCAGTAGTTTTGTTTTGAGCGCGACGTCGAGTACATGCGGTGGGGGCGGGGAGAGGGGTTCTTGAAGATTGCAATTCTGCCGCGGCCCGCACATACTACATTAAATCCACCATTATGGTGAATGGGCGAGCTGTCTCTGAGCATCTCAATGGCGTTAAACTTAGCGGGATGTGCGTGTAGTGGCAGAAAGCTTGTATCCGATGAAAACACGGTTGTTGCGGTACGGTCGTGCGTGCGCTCAAGCTGTATGTCACGAGCCATTGAGAAATGGCCGAGTCGGTATCACAATGTCACGGCAACCCAATGGATGGTACTCACGAAAACTTCGTTACAGTGCAAATATCGCGGAAAAGTATTCGTTGCGATGAGACATTTTTCATCTTGTTTTCTATGGGCAGCTGACAGGGAATTGAAAGTCACTTGTTGTGGCAGAAATTTTGTTGTAGCGGAATTCGTTATAGTGGGATTTGACTGTACATATTAACTTAATTTAGTTGCATAAAGCTGTCGTCTTTGATAAATGACAGCTTTGAATTTCAGGTGTAAGAGGCATCCTGAATCTTAGTATAAGTGACAGTAAGTTCTGAGGGTTCAATTTTAGAGGTGACCACATGGCTTAACTAGAAGCCATTGTTCCAAAGAGTGTTGCTGAAACATAATATGACAGCAATGGCTTTGTTTCATTGTCTTAACATAATGTTGGAAAATGAGGAGCTAGGACTGCATGATTTAGTCAAGCTTTTTTGGTGTTTATGCTCTCAGATCGAAAGTGGTGCTACACCAAATCACCTGAAAAAAAAATTAAGAAGAAGAAAGACTGAACAGAACTAAAGTACGCACACACTGCTTTCCTTAAATTCCTTCTTCGTTCTCTTTCACTGTCTTGTCTGAAAGCAGCAAACGTGTTTAACAAGTATCATTAACATTTGTACTGTTCGTTGCAGCCTCCATCCAACAATGCCAGTCTATGCCACAACCTCTGGACAGAGGAAATTCCCAGAGCTTTCAGATGACGACAGCGACACTCTCTTTACGTTCAAGCATTTGGAGAAAGCTGATAACTCTCTCAAACTTTGGCTTATCGATGACAGACCACAAGATGATGTGTAGAAGCTGATAACTCTCTCAAGCTTTGGCTTATCGATGACAGACCACAAGATGATGTGTAGTCGTCCTAACCATTATGTTTGACTGTAATGCTAATGTGCCTCCAGCCCTGTTTTCTACTCTACTGTCTGCATGTGTATTTATCGTTGCTGTACATAGGACAATAAATGGCATTTGATTATTGAGTTTTTCAAGCTATTGTAAAGAGATTCGCAAAATATACAGCAGGTTTTAAATTATGCTATGCTAGCTAATACAGTGGCAATCCCATATGCACAGTACATATGCTGGCAGGCACAAATTCTGCAGTGGAAAGTTGTAATAATATAATTAACAAATATTTGGTATTTAGCTTTTCTAATTCCGCAATTATGTTACCTACTGCAGGCGTTTGATATTTTAGATGGCCTAGGGACTGGGAAATTGCCTAAAAAGTTGATCAGTCTAAAAGACGAATTGATGCGTGCTCTCTCGAGGGGTTTGTATGAAGCAGATGTGAAGGCTTTCCAGTACGCCCATCCCCTGCCACGGTTTTCTAGTGACTAAGGTACTTGGCTGCTGACCCGCAGGTCATGAAATTGAATGCCGGCTGCAGCGGCTGCATTTTTGAAGGAGACCAAAATGCCGTAGGCCCATATGCTTAGATTTGGGTGCTCGTTAAAGAACCCCAGGTGGTCGAAATATCCAAAGCCCTTCACTACGGCGTCTCTCATAATCATATGGTGGTTTTGGGACGTTAAACCTCATGCATCAATCAATCAATCAATCAATCCAGTGTGCCTATCTGGTGGAACAGTGTTTGTATTGTGAGAAGGCATGGCACGTGCATGCGTGCATAGATAAGGGGTGCAAACTGTCCTGTTATGGTGGCTTTCTTGTAGTGTTAGTATGCCTCATCACAAAAAAAGGCAAGGCTTATAAACATGGGCACAAGAGAAGACAATGCTTTACTGCAATGTGTTGTGTATGTTGGACGGCAGAATACTTTTTGGATTGTAGCAAAGCTGACCTTTGAAAATTGCTACAGCTCTAAACCCTGCTGCTCAAGCTTGCTGCGAATTTACTAGTTTTATCAAAGGGATGGGGCTATCTCATTTGTATGTTCTTTAAGGTGGAAATTCTATTTGTTCTTATTGCTTTTATATTTGTGTGTGATGCAGCAAATTAATTGTATGCACTTTGTATAAATGCACGAACGAGAAAAGGCGCGACAAGCACTGCACTCATAGGTGGCATTTTTCCAGTAAAATTTTAGTTGTAAGTGCAGTGCTTGTTGTGTCTTTTTTCGTTCGTGTATTTGTCTTAACGCTGCCCCATTCAATTCATTATGAACCCTAACCAACTAGCCCACCTTTCCGTTATTTCACTATTTGATCCAGTATTCAAAATTTTTCAATATTTGCTTACCTCCACTTTTCGTGCATTATGATTCCGATTTCATGCGCGAAACCTTCCGCTGGTTTACTGTTAGCGGAAAGTGTATTGGACGATCGTTGTTCTTGCTGTCATCATTACTGGCAATACTGTAACGTTACTAAAAAATCGCGGTAATTGACCCATTACATTTCCGTAAAGTTTGCTTCACCACATAAAGATCATGCTTGCAAAAAAGCCAGTTCTAAAGGAGTAGCACAATAAAAACGCCCTCTTCCTTTTCATCATGCTTGCAAAAAAGCCAGTACCGCAATAAAAGCGCCCCCTCCACCACCGCCCCCCCCCCCCCTTTTTTTTTCGCGTTCTACAGCAAAATATGAATGTGGGCAGGTGAAACGAAAAACCTCTTTCCACGGGTAACGATAAACATCTCGATAGGCGGCGCCATCAGTTAGGTTATTCTGCACGTCACAACCAAGCGCGTGTGCCACTGAGAACGCCGTCAGTGATGTTCATTTCTCCGCAGCCGCATCGCCAAGCCGCTCGCAGCAGTATCAACAGAGTGGCTTTGAAAGAGAAAGAAATGAAGAAAAAAATATGTAGTGCCGTCTGTAATTAGAGGTCACCTCACATGTGCCGCACAGGGATGGGGAGTGGGAGAAAAAAAAGAGCGTAGAAGAGAGGAGAAAGAGATGGAAAATCACGGAGGAAAGAAAGATCTTTCCTTTCTCCGTGGGAAAAATTATGTACTTCGGGCCCGCCCCGTCCCCGTGCGCGCGTCGCCTCTCACCCAAGGAAAGCCGTCAAGCAGCGTCGCAGGATTGTCAAACTTCTGCACGGGGAGGGAATGGATCGTACGAAAGCCCGAACAACAGACAACTTTCCAAGAACAGCGCCAACAGTAGATTCGTGCGAGAACTCGCGTCCGCCAGGCGGATGTTGCAGTCCGGGCTCAAGAGCAGGCCCGGATGTTCAAGCAGCATCTGGTAAGTGGAGATCCGGCAGCCTTTCAAGCCGCTTCAAATCGCGAAGCTGAACGCAAGTGCCAATGGCGGACAGACGCTGCTATTCACGACGCTGAACTAAATCGAGATATTGAATGTATGTGACATCAGCGAGCCAAGGAAACGGCGTTGCCAGCAGAGTAGCACCAACGAGGCAACGACGGAAAAGCGTTTACCGGGATCTTCGCCTGCTCTCGGCGGGAGTTTCTCAAGTGGCTTCGGCTGTGATGTCTGCAACCGCCTGCGGCCGCAAGTTTGAGCTTCGCTGGTTAACCATCTGTACGGAGTGCTTGGGCGGTGATCTTCTTTTCGTTTTCTTAAGGTGAAATCCTTGGATGCCTCATCATTTTCGAAAATCGGGCTTTGGCGGCGTCAGCAAAGGTGTTGCAAAACATCATGAGATAACGTCAATTGTGACGTCATTGTGTGACATCAATGTGATGACATATTGACTGTGCTTGCAGAAAATGCCGCCATTACAGATCATGCCACTACGGTGGAATTCGACAGTGTCCAAAATAGCACTCGGGGAGTCAAGAAATTTTGTATGATGGTGATGAGCCATATTTATAGCCGGCTCCCACTGGAAAGCGTGCACCATAAAAAATGGATGATGATGGTCATCACTTTCATCAAATGTCGACCCGCACGTCATGTCGGCACCGCTCTCTCCCCTCCCCCATACCCTTTTGAAGGGCGTGTTAAACCGCCATTTATACAACTTCGCGTGTGCGTTTTTATGTGCGTGGATACATATGCACGCAAAATTAAAAAATTGGGGCGGGGGTGAACCATCCCCCTTTGCTACGACAGTGGTGCCGTAATCACCTACGGGTCGACATTTGATGAAAATGATGATGATAATCATCATGCAATTATACGTTGCGCACCGTCCAGTTGGCGTGCGCTGTGAAAATAGATCATCACCACCATTCGAAATGTTCCGACTACATGAGCGTTATGCTGGGCGCTGCTTAATCCCACCATATCGTCATATTTCGTAATGGCGGCACTCTAAGCCAATCGGAGAGGTCGTAGCAACCCTCTGGGCGAATCAGAATTGACCAATGGCGGCATTTGAAAACATGACTGAGTTTCACTTCGTCAAGAATAGCACGATGGGGGAAGCGGCAAGTTCGGTGGGCAGATAGGATTAAGAAGTTCGCGTATGTAGCGTGGTCGCAGCAAGCGCACGACCGGGTTGGTTTGTAGAACATAGAAGCGGCATTTGCCCGGCAGTATAGAAGTGTGGTCAGGATGGATGACTATATGATGATGATGACGATGGCAACCTCTTCTCCATGGCGCTCACCCATGGCCAAGAAAGGGGAATGGGCTAAGAACTTGGTGGCAGGATGAATATAGCACCCCCGTTTTACTCTCTCCTCCTCTTCTTTTCTGCAAGCTTGGCTCACACCCGATACGGGGGCTTGGCTAAGAAATGTGTTGCTTATTCCAATATTTCCTGTATGTTCCAAAGGTATAAAATTTCCCCGACGTGCCCCCCCCCCCCCCGCGTCGTCTTCTGCTTCTTGGTGGTACATGTCTATGTTTCCGGTGAATGTCATCGTCATCATAAATTATCGCACTCACCAAAATTTTCCATCGCCATCAACACCGCTCAGTGACAGTTGCCGACGGCGCGTTTACGCTTGCCACCCAAGAAGGAGAGGAAGAAGAAAGGATACTCGACTCGCTGCGGCGTTATGCCTCTTAGCTGAGCGCTACCTCGTTTCTTTCGATGGCTACTGCAGCCACACCGAAAGTCATGGAAGAAGAGCCCCAAGCCACGCCGAAGTTCAACTCCAAGCTGAGCCGCGCCTCCGTCAAGCGGCGAGGATCTTCGGCACCTGCCGGGCCGACGCTAAGCGACATGGCTCCGTTGCTTAGCCAAACGCTGGAGATGGCGCGCCCTCCCGTCAAGAAGTTTCTCAAGCACGGTCTCGACACGCCGGTTCCCGTGAAGAGGCTCGCGCGTCAAGGAACGACAACGGCGTTTTCTAACACCACGTACGGCTCTGTCCGTGCCACCGGAGCTGAGGTACCAGTATAGGTGTAAAAGAGAGTCCACGTAGTATATGCTGGTTTACCGTTAAATGCAAGAGGTCGAATTCATGGAACTTCTTTCGTTAGCATTCTTTGCTGTTCATTGGGAGCCCTTGCTAATTATATGCCCAGCGCCAGGATTGGCTGAAATGTTTTCTTACGAACAATCGTGGCGTGGTGAACTTTTGTGAATTGCGTCCGAGTTCCACTACGACTTGGCTGGCGTCGCTACAATAGCGCTCAGGCTACCACTACAGTTTGAGTACTTTACGACAGATTCACCAGCACGAAAAAAGACGGCACGCATAGGGAGGGACATCCCCCCCCCCCCCACACGCACACAGCACGTGACCTGTAAGTCGCAATAAATTATCAAAGTCAGCTGGAAAGTGCTTCCTCTTCTCTCGACAAATGACGTAATAAGCTCAGAAATCGCACGTAGAAAGCCCATCTGTCAGCCATTGGCTGATTTGAACATGGCGCGCTCGGTTGTTACACAGATCGCCGGGGGAGGCCACGACAGCGCGTGTGCGTGCGATCACACTGAAAAAGCCTCGCATTCGAAGAAAAAAAGTAATCAAGGTCTCGAGGCGTGCGTGCCGTTTTTATTTGCACCTGTCGCCCCTCTCTGCTCAGCTTCCAGCGCTTTCGTCGGGACTAGAGAAGAGAGAATGCAATTGCAGCATGCGACAAATCTTTACAACTCCACTCGCACTGGAAGGATCTGAAAAATTTTTTGCGGCGTTGAATTTGTGAGGCAATAAGCTCTTCCAGCGAATTCATTTCATGGTTACTTGGAAAAGTGGAAAAGCGTTTCAGGGCCCCGTGCTACACCGTCCACGTTAATTGTGGCCGTCGGATCATACAACGAGATATTTTGAACAGAGGGGCTGGTATGTGCGTGTACGCTCAGTCTGGTTCGCGTCGCGGTGTGACCTCGCAGACGGACGAAGCTGCGGTCGAGAAACGCGAGCAGCTGAAGCGGCAACTGGAGCTGTTCTTGCTTCCGGAGAATCCGCTGCTGTCTTCGGCCCTGCTTCGCGAACCGCCCTTAGACGAGCAGCACCAGCAATTCGCCTGGATGATACACCCCTGCAGCAAATTCAGGTGCGTACGTCCTGTGTTATCTAAACCATGCTGGGCCGACCAGCTTTTGAGGTGAAGGGCCGAATTGTACGAAGACGGCACGGCCGGGCCGCAAGGCCGAATAACAGAAAGGGAGAGAACGGGGCGCTTTGCAGGCAAACAAACACACAAAAAAATTCCGCCATATCCACGAAGTGAATGATGATGAGTGGGCGAAGCTCCGGAGGTAAACCTGGTAAACCATGAATCCTCTGTACATTTTGCCCACTCAATTTTTTTACATCGCTCCCCCTAGCGTACGTCGCCGCACTAAATCGAACGATTGCCTTCAACCAATGACACGCGCCATATGTGACATCATTCCTATTTTATAAGATCTCGCGTCTTTCATCAACTACAAGTACCGCTTTCTAGTTTATAACATCTTGCATCTTTTCATCATCAGCTACAAGTACCACCATCTAGTAAACACTACAAGAACTAAACGAGAGGTGGCTACATACAGGAGACGGTACCGCCATCTAGTGAACACTGCAAGAACTAAACTAGAGGTGGCTACATACAGGGGACGGTACCGCCATCTAGTGAACACTGCAAGAACTAAACTAGAGGTGGCTACATACAGGCTACAGGGGACGCACAGCCCACGCCCTAAGGAGCTTCGCCCCTAAAATTCATGTGAAATAGGGATCGTACATTCATTTTCAGCACTCTTGTCACAAGGTTGCAATTTACAGACAGAGCTTACGAGCGAGAAAATTCACGCATCTCTACGAATTCTTGAATCACGACAAGTGGGTGAAGCTCTGGGTATAGTAACCTTGTACGTTACCCAAGCGTTGCCCCATATAATGTAAATTGAGTGACGTAGCATGCATATCTCTACGGCAAAGCTATATATAAAGTCCATGATGCGTATGTAGAAGTCGTCGACTATAGTTTAAAGGGTTGGTGTTTGTAGGTATTTTATATATATCGTTGCATCACAATTATGATGAGTCTACTTTTTTTGACATACGCTTTGATTGATGGGTGCTTCAAATGTCGGTGGTTTTACGGTGTTGTGACCTTTTATTTTGTTCTTAGCATTTCTTCAAGCTTTGACATGGTGCTCTATAGTACCGTGACGGACACCGGACAGACAAGCCTCAGCTGTAAGGTGCTTCACCCCTAAAAACTTCATTTGAAGTTCAGGCTGTCATTTAGGCCTTTAATGAAAAGACACAGAGGGTTACGAGAGAAGGGGTTTTAGCAGGCGCCATGCCAGGGCCCGAATAACACTGCCCCATGGGCCACATGGTGCCAACCCGTGACCTCGCCGATATTGACAAATTGAGTCTATGCAGAGGAAATATCCAAGGACCTATTGCGCTATCGCTAATACGACCTACGAAAGTCAACGCTTACGTTGGCAGTTCAACGCCAAGCCCAGTCGTGCCTTTCTTGTCTTGTGTGCTTGCGTCGTTTCTTGAAGAGTTACCAAGAAGCTCACGTCAGACCTTTCTGAAGTTTTACTTGCCAAAAACATGACACGGTCACGAAGAACTTCTAGTAGGGCACCACGTGTTAGATTTGACCTCCTGTATTTTTTCTCAACGTGCACTTACATCTGTAGCCGCGAGTACAACTTCAGAAGTCCGTGGCATTTCCTCAACAAAGGCGGATGCACGCAAGCCTCCAGCAACAGGCGCGCACTCTAGAATGACATCGTGAGCGGCGTGGCTGGTGACCCAGCCTTCTGAGAACACTGGCGCGTGCAGAATGCAGGACTGCTTCTTTAGTCGTGGAGGTGATCGGCGGCCACGCTTCGGCCGCCTGTGTGCGACCTCCCCAGATTTCTTGAGTTGTGTTGTTTTTCCATTTTGACCTCGATGAAATGAGGGCTCTGCGGTCGATAATCAAACCTGCATCCTCGAGTTTACCTGCGCAATAACTTGGTCACTAAGCTACCAGAGTGAGTCAGTCACAACTATAAAAGTGACGGTGTCCCGAGTGCTGCCATGTCTATATAGTTGGCTACCATCTCGCGCAGGGCTCGCTGGGACATGACGATGGTGCTTCTGGTGTTGTCCAACGTGGTGCTGATTCCGGTGCAAGCTACCTACTTCGGCGGCGTCGACGACGAAGTCTTCCAGTGGATGCTATTCAGCCTCGTATCAGACGCCGTATTCGCCTTCGACATCGTCTTCAACTTCAGGACCGGTGCGTCCACGCGCTCCCTCACGCGAACGTCGATTCGTAATAGTACATTTAGCCTAACTCTAAGAGTTAATCTATCATCATGGGCAAGTTATTAAAATGAGTTGCTTTCGGGTGGTTCTGTTCATGCCCTATATACACGTGACGATAGGGTGTATTGTTGTGGCTTTGAAGCTATAGTTTAAATAGACATACCTAAGTCGACTGCAGCTTGCAGAATTGCATCAGTTATAAACTGTCGTGAACGAAACGGAAAATATGGTGTTGAAGTGGCAATTTTGTATAATCGCTACTTTTTTTGGCACTTGCGCATTAAGTGACAAGGTGGAAGTTCTGTAACCACACCTGTCATAACACTTCACCTGTACTAAAACCATGTCAATCAATCAATCAATCAATCAATCAATCAATCAATCAATCAATCAATAGATTGATAGAACAATCGATCTCGTATGATTTACACGTAGAGACCTCAACATTCGTAACAGCCCTCACTACTTTGATAGCTGAACAATCGGTGTACCACAGTTCATGCTCTGAACCTTTTTAGCGAAGCTTACACTCTCTGCGGTGCCTTAGCGTTTTAAACGTTTCACTTGGCTTGGTTGTAGCGCCGAGAACTAAGTTAGAAAACATACGGCCGGTAAAAGCGAATGAGTGCCAAGCACTGAAATATAGCGATGAAGCTCCAGGTAGCCTGCATCGACACATACATGCGAGCATTCATGTGTAAGAATGTCTTATACAGTTGTAACTTCAAGCATCGTGCTAACGTACTCCACCACTGAAAATGCAGTGTAGTCCGCTAGCTTTGGCAGAGGCCGATCGCACCTGCGTCTAATGTCATCCACGCTCCAGCTTGAGCGGGCTCTGCGTCCCTGAGTGAATGAGTGCGCGTGCAGGTGTGATCGTGGAGGAGGACTACGAGCGCGTGGTGATGGACCCGAAGTACGTGGCTCGCAGCTACCTGCACGGCTTCTTCCTCATCGACCTGGTGTCCACGCTGCCGTGGGACTACGTGCTGGCCTTCATGCTGGTCGTGTTCCAGCACGAGGTCGACGAAGGGGACACCTCGTTCACCATCACCGTGCGCCTGCTCCACCTCACCAAGTTCCTCAAGCTGCTCAAGCTGCTCCGCATCACCAGGCTCGTCCGGTACCTCGACAACGTCGAGCAGAACTACGTGAGCCTTCGTTATGTGCGATGTGGTGGCTGTGGTGCTCGACTTCTGAACCGTAGGTTGTGGATCGAATCTTGGCCGGGGTGGCCGCATTACAATGAAAAGGAAATGCGAGAGGCCAATTGACTTATGTTTAGGCGCACGTTGAAGAACTCGAGGTGGCCGACATTTCCGGAGCCCTCCACTACAGCGTCTCTCATGACCATATCGTGGCCTAGGGTTGTAAAACGCCAACGATTATTGTTACACCCGCTTGGCAGAGGAGGACGTGATGCAACGCACATGAGCTTCCGGACATGTTCCGCGGTAGGAAACAGGCTGCAAAGAAGGCGAATGCAACAAGTGCAGTCATAGGCGTGCACACGGGAGGGTAGGGCAGAGGGAGCACCCCCCTCCCTATTTATCTAAAACGAGGGGGCGTGCAAAGTCAGCCCTCTACATTGGCATGAAATCTTTATTTTCCTTAAAACTCCTTAAGGGTTTATTACATAAGGGGTGGACTTGATATATAAAAATAATTTATGGCGACAAATTTATATCTTGAAAAATGATAGAAAGGGGGTGCTGCGCGTGGGGGGGGGGGGCGCGCAAAATCAGCCCCATACAATGTTGCAATAGGGAATACGGTGCTGCGAACCCCTCCCCCCTCCCCCCGTCTCCGAAGAGGAACCATTGCGCACACTTATGGATGATGCAGCATACCAGAGCGGCCAGCGTTCCTTAGTTGCTACTCTGATTATCGGAAGAATTGTTCACTATTGGTGTCCAGCCAACCGCCCTGTAATCGTTGGTATTTTCTGGTGTTCTCGTATTCTTGTGTCTTGCCTAGTTTCATTTTTTTTCGGCGCCGCGGAGTATCGTGCATTGTGATTAAACAAAACATAATCAAGGAATCACGTTCAATGGCAGATAAATCAATGAATGTAATGCGGAGCCTCAATCAGTGTAATAGTGAGGCCAGCTGATTGTACTCTCAGTTCTGCTGTCACTGAATTACCAAGATGTCCAGGCGTCGGTGAGAAAAAGAGACTGGCCACACTGGTAATTTACGTGGTTAATCCGTCAGTTGTGGGAAGCCGGTCATCTGGTTTATTAGTTTGTCACTGATTGTCCAAAATCTGCTGATAATTTCAAAATTTTGTTCCAAGGTCATGTGACCTGGAAGCTTTCCGACTATGATTTGTCAATTGCAATATGTTGAACTTGCGTGTTATTTTATCTATCGTTCATACAATGTCCACTTGTACGTGTAATCAATAAGTATATCTCTATGTTGCGGGCAGATAGCTTGCGTGCTAGCCCATAGCTTACAAAAATCATAATGCCATGCCAAAGTAAAGCCTCGCTACCCTCTCTGTTCCTTCGACGCACATACATTTCGTGCGTTCTTTTTCAATACGGATGTCATGTTTCTTAGGTAGCCTACTTTTCTATGCCTTCATAAATAAATAACCTCAGCGGATGGCGCCTAACTTATTTATGGCGCCAGCGGATGGCGCCATAAATAAAACCTCAGCGGATGGCGCCTAACTACCATTGACGCTAACCCGACATGACGGCTGTACATATAGGAGTACATATAGGAGTCCTGTATATAGGAGTACATAGGAGTAATGTTTATAAAATTTGACAGCCAGTACTACAAACAGAATTGACGTTTCACGAACATTAAGCTCTATTTGCAAATTATTTGCGAGACCTGGCGTGCCTTTGTCGTAGAATACTTGATTGCCACGCAGTATGCTTGGGTTCGATATCTGCTGGCAAGACATTTATTCTTTGCATTCGTCCGCTCAACGCTGCCCATGACAGCTTTTTCTTAACGCTCAAGCGTTAAAGTTACCCATGTGTCTTCTTGCCGTTCCTGGGTAGATACAGAATGTCTATCACCTGTTGCACATACCCGCATACCACTGACACATACCCACCCCTGGGCATATGCCACTGTTTTTTTTTTTGGAAAGTGTTTGACGATGTGCGCGACCAGATTATGACATTACTAACGCTCAAGCGTTAAAGTTACCCATGTGTCTTCTTGCCGTTCCTGGGTAGATACAGAATGTCTATCACCTGTTGCATATACCCGCATACCAGTGACACATACCCACCCCTGGGCATGTGCCACTGTTTTTTTTTGGAAAGTGTTTGACGATGTGCGCGACCAGATTATGACATTACTCATGTCATGACCAGCGTGTCGTATTCGTCAAAACTATCTTACTTATCCTCTCGTACTAGATCACCCCAAGTTAAGGAGGGGGTGGATCTTGACAGCACCCAGACGTAAGCAGCTGGCTGGCTGGTTGGCTCGATAGATAGATAGATAGATAGATAGATAGATAGATAGATAGATAGATAGATAGATAGATAGATAGATAGATAGATAGATAGATAGATAGATAGATGATAGATAGATGATAGATAGATAGATGATAGATAGATAGATAGACAGACAGACAGACAGACAGCAGACAGACAGACAGACAGACAGACAGACAGCAGACAGACAGACAGACAGACAGACAGACAGACAGACAGATAGATAGATAGATAGATAGATAGATAGATAGATAGATAGATAGATAGATAGATAGATAGATAGATAGATAGATAGATAGATAGATAGATAGATAGATAGATAGATGCCAAAAGCGCTTGCAGTACGCAAAGCAATGAAAAAAAAAAAACGCAGGAGCGAACATTCATGCGAGTGCTGGACTTTGGTCCGAGTGTTTTTGTCACGCGTTTTTCCATATGTCCTTCACGTGTGTGAGATTCACGTACGTGACCCGAGTAGTATGGTCACGCCAGACGTGTTATCACCGCTATAAAACGAAGCTTCTGCCTGAAGTTGCGTATGTATGTTGCTATTTTGCCAGTTTCAGTGGTTAACCCGTGTCTGTGAGGCACCTATCTTCTGAACCGTCATGGATGGAGCGTTGCGTCGCTGTTGACGCAACGCTCTATCCATGGCGGTTCAGGAGATAGGTATATGTGACGTTACTCCCTGGCATGTAACGGTGACGGCTGACTGCTGCTGACTTGACTGCTGGCTGAAAGGTCGCGGGATGGAGTTGCGGCCACAGCGGCTGCATTCCGATGGAGCCAGAATGCTAGAGGCCCGTGTGCATAGATTGTGGGGAAAGTTTATAAGGCCCAGGTAATCGAAACTTCCAGGGCCCGCCACAACGGTGTCCCTTGTTACAATATCGCCGTTTCTGGGCGTAAAACCACAGCAGTTGTTATATTAGAATATGCGAACACTTCGTCGTCATCTCGCAAGACTGACGTGACCGTCCGTGCGTCCATCGGCCCGTCCGTGTGTGCGCCTGTTCGTGCGTCCGCACGTCCATCTGTGCGTCCGTCCATGCGTTCATCCATGCATCCACCCCTGCGTCCGTTCATGCGTCCATCCATGCATCTGTCTGTGTGTCCGTTCGTCCATCTATTCAACACTCCAAGTACCACCATCTCGCATCTTTTCATCATATATTCCCCATATAGAAGCACCGCAATCCAGCGGACATTTTAAGGACTAAACTAGAGGTGGCATACGCACACTTTCTTACGGCTTGCGCTTCGGGTCTACTTCCCACCTTTAACTACCTCGAGTTCATGATATATACTAGTTCACTGTATTCATGTCACTGCGGCCCAACGCTCGCTAAACCTTTCTAAAAGAAAGGAGATTACGTCTAGCGAGCATAACGTAGCAACCTTTTCCTGTCAGATAGTGCTCAATGTAAATGCCAATGGCTGCTAATGGGAAATGAGAGACAGGAGAATTCAGCTTTTACTTTCATACGGCTTGTGCTTCGGGTTTACTTCCCACCTTTAACCACCTCGAGTTCATGGTATATACTAGTTCATTGTATTCATGGCACTGCGGCTCAACGCTCGCTAAAACCTTTCTAAAACCAAGGAGGTTACGCCCAACGAGTATAACGTAGCAACCCTTTCTTGTCAGATAGTGCTCAATGTACATGCCAATGGCTGCTAATGGGAAATGAGAAACAGGAGAATTCGGCTTTTAGTTAAAGCGCGCGCTGCGAATTTTTTATTGTTCGACAATGCACAAGAGAAATATCCCACCGGCACCACCTTGCAGGTCAAAACGTAAGAATGGTCACACACTACGACTACGGCTACTACGAGGGACGAACGGGTGCCGTTTTAAAGAGCTTCGCCCATTAAACACATGCTAATTGATCCATAAGTGACTTCACAAGTTATTATTTTCAAGTACGTGTGATAAACGTGTAATAAAAAAGGGTTTTCAGAAGTCCTCGTAGAACGTGAATAGACGATCGTATACACCTACACCTCTACACTGACTTTACTAGTGGCTTTACTATACGCGTTTGTAACGTCAAGGGACGAGAATCTCGTGTTGTGGTGCAGTTTTTCTACTCGAACGGCGTGTACCTGCGGCTGACCAACTACATCGGGCTGCTGCTGCTGATAGGCCACTGGAACGCGTGCCTGCAGTTTTTCGTCGACAGGATGCTGGGCTTTCCTCCTGACTCGTGGGTCGCCAGGCAAGACCTCGTGGCAAGTGGTCTATCAACAATCACGCGTATACAGTGACGCTGTAAGAAAGACAAACCACGCCTTTCTTAAACCTGCCGCTCCCGTGCGGGACTCCTCGGGACTCGTTTTCAATATTATCACGCCTGGGGTGGCTGCGTTTTTGATGGAGACGGAAATGCTGTAGGCCCGTGTGCTCAGATTTGGGTGCGCGTTAAAGAACCCTAGGTGGTCAAAATTTCAGGAGTCCTCCACTACGGCGTCTATCATAATCATATGGTAATTTTGGGACATTGAACTTTACATATCAATCGTTTCCAATATTTTGACACTATACCGTTTTGCAAAATGGTTTTACATACCAGTTGAACATGCGCCTGTTTTCAAAAATAAGTCTTGCTAATCATTGGTAAAACTGTTCGAACTGGGAGAGTATTTTCATATATGGATGAATAATGACACTATGTTTATATAAAACGGCTTGACAATTATAGTACAGGATGAAGCTTGACGTGCCATGAAGTACAGAAAGTATACATAAATATGAACTAGGAGGGAAGTTTACTTTGAAGCCTCTGCCTGAGCTAGTCTATGACGATATATGTTTTTCCCTACCTTCGTACGAGACGAAGGAAAGCTACAAAAACTGTTTGGTAATACACGATCAAGAAATCAACCTTCTCGCAAAGCTTTTACTGTGAGAAATGAAGACACATATGTGGTGAAGCTCCAAATTATAGAGACCCTTGATTTAAAGACATATATATTTCAATAAACATATTTACTCTTTCCTGGTAAATAAACAGATTTCGTACATCGATTTAATAGAGTTTGCAGATAGCCAAGACAAAATAATACTGTTGGAACAACCGCAACAGGAGTTATGTCCACTTATCATGCACGTTGTCTGCGCGACCACTTAAATAAGCATAAACATTTTCCCATTTTCATGCGTGTCGTACGTCGGTACACGAGGTTGTTAACTAGCACAAAACTTGTGTTAAAAGAATAACTTTTTAATGCGAAATGAAGTTGTTGCTCATTTTCTCTTTCTCTCTCTCTTTGTCTCTCTCTCTCACACACTCTCTCTTCTCTCTCTCTCTCTCTCTCTCTCTCTCTCTCTCTCTCTCTATATATATATATATATATATATATATATATATATATATATATATATATATATATATATATATATATATATATATATATATATATCTTCGTGCAATCAGTTTGCCACAGCTCGCTTATGTTGTCCGCTGCGTGAACTTAAAAAAAAAGGTATTTTTTTCATCAATCTATATATGCCCTGCGTGTGCGCGTGTGTGAAACTGAGTAACCATACTCTCTGTGTGGCCAATAATCGGCACCTGTAAAAACCTTATAGTGATCATTATGAAGCTATACATATCGCACTTCAACCTGCATCGCGGAAAGCACAGAATTAGTATGAGTAGCAGATAACGACCGCTTTGTTCGATGTACTACTAAATGAACAGTGAACTCGAAGAAAATACTTCCCTTAACAGAACGTCTACTATAATCTGAACATTCACTACAATACGAAATAACGTTAGACACAGCAGAAATTTTATTCATTTATTTATTTACTTATTATTTATTTATGAATACTACAATCCGTAGTCGAGACTTTGGTATGGTGGGAAGATGACCAATGCGTGATCTCGTACAAAGAAGTGTGCGGAACAAGTAATAGGCGTAAACGGGTCACATAATTCTAATGACCTAAAACAGAAAGTGACCTAACAACGAATGAAAAGCGGATTACACATCTGAAAATACACATATACATGCATACAAATACATGCATACCATCCTTAATGCAATTACCTGCACATAAAAACAAAATATCGAGTGCAGGTAAATAAAAATAACAATAACGAAATAAAGCACAATACACGCAAAGGCATTCAAGTGTAAATATGCACTCGTACTAAGTGTGCATGCGAACATACAAACGTAATATAAATGAGAACCAAGTTCACGAACACATCAGGCTAGAAGTAAAACTTGCCAACGAAGAGTGTAACACTTGCTCATTTTATAATAAATTCCAATAATTCACCATTCTGGGGAAAATGGAATCAAGTAAAACGTGTGAAGTTTCGAAAATAACTTCATAATTTTCATTTGAAGTGGCGCTCTTAAAGTGAAAAATATAGAACGCTGTTTAGAGGGTCTACGTCTCTGTACAATGCCCCACAGGTTGTCGCTGTGACACGATGTCACGCAACTTCCCATTATAAAAATAATATAAAAAGATACATGATTTCAGCCTTCCTTAGCCATCGCAACTTCTTTGTCGCACTGTCCCTTTGGTTTCGTACGAACACCGGAAACAATTTTCAAATGTGATAGCTTGCGCAGGGACTGAAGCGCACGCGGCTAGTTCTCGCCTCCCGCGCGGCCACTTCGCCTCGGCTCAACAGCATGCACAAGCGATGTTGCACAGCCGCCGATGTATTGGTTATTTGGGGGCGGCCCGCATCGGTCACATATACATAGACACCAGTGCTGCAGAGCGCGAAACTTCATTGAATTGATCTCAAAAAACGAGACCGGGTGCGCATATCAATCAAGTTCACTGTATTGGTGCGTATTGTAGAAAGTTATGAAAGTCGCATTGGAATGCTATTCTATAGACTACCGAATTTGACCAAGCTTTCCAATTGAGTAATGACGTAATTGAAGGCCTTTGGGCCAATCAGAGTTGTCAAGTGCCGGAATCGGACAACGTAACACTGTCCAGAGTAGCAGCACTGGTCTCCCCTAACCTCCCGGCTTTGGAACTTATTCAACTGCCCGTAACTTGGCATCAGGATGAAAAAGACTACATAAGTAACCGAAATTTTTAATACACTTTGCTTAATAACAATTCTCTAGCCAGATGTCGCAATTTGTTCACCGCATTTGTGTTCCTTAAAGACTTAGTTAAATTAAAGCAGGAACGTCTGCCTGTCATTTACGCACCGCACTCGATCAGCAATTCATAATATTCACGTCCTAAGTATGGGACATGGCATCCGAATGGTGGAGAGAGAGAGATAGAAAAAGTGCAAAAAATGAAAGCAAGATATACACCCTTAAAATTTCGGAATGCGTGAGAATGTTTCCTGCTCACGCCCCAACGCACTCGTCGCTGTTCCGGGTCCCGCAGGGCAAACCCTGGTTCGAGCAGTACTCGTGGTCCATCTACAACGCCATCTCGCAGATGGTGTCGTGCGGCTACGGGCGCACGCCGGCTGCCAGCGTGGCCGACGCGTGGTTCATGTGCCTCGGCATGGCCTCCGGCACCGTGGGCTACGCACTCCTGCTCGGCTTGTGCGCTTCCACCATACAGACCATGGACTACTCGAGACGCCTGCTCAGGGAGAAGGTTGGTAAATACAGGCGTAGATAGGCCAAAGACCTTAAGTGTCTGTGATGGCACTGCCATTAGCTGTGACGCTTTGAAAGCACGCGAAATATCCCAAGTCGCGAAAAACACCCAGTGCAGCGCATAGCCGGTTTCTTCTCCCTCGACGCTGCGCAGCATCGAAAGACGTGTCGCTGCGCACTTACGCCACAGTCGGAAAGGAGGTGGTTGAGACGTAAGTTCACTGCATGCGGTGATAGGAGGCAAGCTATGAAGGAGTCGCTGCAGGCCCACCGCTCACAGCCATAGTCTTGGCAGGGTTCTGTTTTCTTCCAGCACTGCGTCCGCGGCGGATGGAACATTGTGACAATCCACAATGTGACATGTACTGCCACAGACTACTGCCACTAACAGTACATGCCACAGACTGTGGCATGCAGTGCCATCAACGTTGTGGCACGTATCTGCCACGGACTTCAATCCCAGCGACTCCCCATGACCCCCGCATTCGGCCGTCAGAGTCTCCTTGTGGTCACGTAGAGACCTGCTGGTCCCGGCCCGCTACCGATTTCAGTTTCTCAAGCAGGTCCTGTTACTTCCTTGGAGACTCTGCTCCCGGCAGTAAAAACCACCCCGCGCCCTTGACTACTGACGCCGGTCCATCTCCATTGCTACCTCTTCATCCCTCCTCCTTTTGGCCCCTTCCCCCTCCCCTACCGACGCTGGGCTATGCTCCCAACAAGAGCTATAGAAGTGCCGTCTTTTACTCACCTTCAACGACAACATTCAACAATTGGGTGAACGCGAGGAGGATACGCCGCTACAGGACTCACAGCGTAGGCAAAAGGGAAGGGTACACGCTTTGACAGTGAAGGCTGCTCTTTGGGCTCGGTGTTGTACAATGTACACCTGTGTAACTGTAACGATCGTCATTACGAAGTTATGTGCGTCGCTTGCACCTGCACCACGGAAACCACAGAAGTGGCACGAGCAGAATCACTACCGCTTCGCTCGATGCACTAGTATCGCGAAACACTATAGATTAAAAATATACACCGTGCTTTTGAGGCACGATGACGGACAGCTCAATTCACTTATAACATGTGCAGTATTAAAGGGATTAGAAAAAAGGCTTGTGATACACCCCCCGGGATGACACCTTATAATTTCTAGTAACCAAAGTTTGATACGAATGGAAGATCCTTTGGACTCTCAGAGCAATGCGTGATGCAGTATGTGAGGAATGACGTTGTGCTGTTAAACGCTGTGTTATGGCAGCTTACAAAGAACACAACAATAACAGTCGATGCAGGCGTCGTGCCTTGATTGCTGTACACCAGTTGAGACCGATGGCAAATTATCCATAGCATAGCTTCTGGTAAAACGTCGGTGCCGTTGCCCTGTGGTGCGTTCCACCATGACGCCCTCCGTGCCCCCTCCCCAGCATTGTTCTCGTATTTCTCGTTTCACAGCTGAAAGAAGTGGAAGACTACATGCAGTGCCAGAAGTTCCCGAACAAGCTTCGCTCTCGAATGCGCGACTACTTCGAGAACCGCTACGAAGGTCGCGTCTTCGACGAGGCCAAGATCCTCGCCTCACTCTCGGACCCACTCAGGGAGGTGAGAGGCGCAAGAAGAGCCGCACGGCGTGCCGTTCGTCATTCGCGCTCTAACGGCACGCCAAAAACGAACACCTGAATCTCGGTATTCATCATAGTGCGTTCATTGCTGTATAACAAGCACTCGTACGGAGCGGTACGAATGGAAGATAACGAAGCACTCGCGTAAAAACTAACACGCGCAGACGCACTAAATGCAGTTGTATCAAAACAGGTGCGAAAAAATTGTTCTCAGTTGTTCCAACTTAAAACTGTGGGAATTTAGAATCGCATATAATGCGTGACAAAGATAAGATGAAGGGAGGAACGCACACACACACGCACAAGCGCAGAACTTCCAGTTGGTTTTATTTGCAGAAAACAGGTGATTTTGTAGTTTCATCAAAATAACGAGAACAGGGAACGATCACCATGAAACAGGTGAAATCAGCTACAAGGATAGCAATGTGTTACCATAATTGTGGCTGCTTGTTTTGTCTCTTCTACCTGCTCAGTATTTTTCATTGTGGCAGCACATGTCATTTCTATATTTCTTTTTCGCCGCCGCAAACACATCAAGTGTGTATTTCTGGCTTTTTTTAGACCAACAGATTGTCCTTTCTTGTGAGAACAGTAATCGCATTATTTATGGGCCATGTAAATATAGGTCATAGTCATAGGAGGGAAGTGCAATTTTTGAAATATATGAGATACCCTAAAAAACTGAGCATTATCACTTTTGAAATGTCCATCAGTTAACTTCCCGTTTAACGTTACCTAATGTGGGCACAGGAAACAAACTAGTCGCTTTACAATCGCAACCTAATGCAAGACGCGATACCGATCTTTCGGTAAGATTACGTACCATGCCCCAGAGCACAGGTGGGAATAATTATTGTCGGGATTTAACGTCTCAAAACAACCATATGATTATGAGAGGCGCCATGGGGGGAGGTGGGGGCTCCGGAAATTTCGATCACCTGGGGGTTCTTTGAAGGGCACTTCGATCCAAGCACACGGGCCTCAAGTATTCTCGCCTCCATCAAAAGTGTGGCCGCCCCGGCCAGAAATTCAATGCCGCGATCTGCGGGTCAGCCGTCGAGCACCATAGACCACCGTGGCATGGTTAAGCACAGGTGGTCCTCCACGTATGTGTTCAAGAAAAGAAATACGCCATGAAAGAGCAGATGCTGTAACCGTATTTCTTAGGGATTCTTTTCATCCCATTCGCAGTAGTTTTTTATCATTTCTCGCGCTGATTGGTCGATCGTAGTAATAGTGAGAATGCTGCTTCATATGAAAGCTAATGACAACAGTAAAAAAAAAAAAGTTAGGACTCGTTGAGTAAACGCAGGTCTCTGTAAACACTCGCTGTTCGTGACGCTTAGCTGTGAAGCGGAAACGAGTAGCTTCGACTGTGATAGCGTCACGTTTCTCCGATGTTCTTGTCTGCTACAACGAGCCACTAACCCGACCAGCCGTCTCTCACTTTCACGCCTCCCATGCAGGAGATCGTGAACCACAGCATCCGGACGACGGTTCGCACGGTGCCCTTCTTCGCCCAGTCGGATCCGACGTTCGTCGCGGAATTGGTGTCGCGGCTGCGGAACGAGTTCTTCCAGCCGGGAGACCTGATCGTCAAGCAGGACACCGTGGGACACAAGATGTACTTCCTGCAGTCGGGAAAGGTGAACATCGTCCATGACAACGGAGTATTCGTCGCCAGCGCCTTCCCCGGAGCCTACTTTGGAGGTCTGTTTTTCACAAACCAGTATCTGAGCTCCTGTTTCAGCTTCTCATTCGTATTGCAAACGTCCTTGCGCTGTATTAAATATGGCACTGTGCGAAAAGTTCGGGGTTCCAAGAATAGTAGAGTAGTGTTATAATGTTTACTCATAGTATTTCCCATCAGAACTGGTGGATGTGCGCACTATTCATCTAGAGGACTTGGTTTCGGTTTCGCGTCACGTTGGAAGTCCTGTCTCTTCTCAAGTCGTAGCTCGTACTTCCACGGTCTCAGTACATTCATCGCATATGTTTGACGTCATCACACTACCTTCGTAGTTTTTGTTGATCTAGTAGTCGGTCACCATTGTTATAACAACGGGTATACTGAAGTTTCTGGGTAGCATCCGATACCTTCGTTCGAGCCCTCTTCTCGCACTATTCTTAAGACTAACGACCCAGGTATCCTGTTGCGCAGTGACCGTTAGCAAAACACGGCATGCGAATCGAGTGCTACGAGTGGCGGTTAGGAAGGAATGACTTGTTGGGACATCATCGTATAATTTTGTCATGACGTAATGATAGGACATCGTCGCGTTCGGGGTTCCAATGCATGCTGGTCATAGTGGTATAGTGCTACACGACGCGATGTGTGGAAACTTTCGGTTTAGAAAGAAGGGGTGGGCATTGTATTAGGCTTAGAGCGCTAAAGTAGTTTAACACGCGTTTTGTCATGTCGTGCAAGTTGTCCAGTCCCTGAATGCATTACTCAATGCATTAACAACTATGTAACAAGCTTTTTGACCTTCAGGTGTTTCAGAGAGTGTAACCTGCTGACGAACTTCTCGCTGACGACGTGCAGAGATGTGCCTTCTGACTCGGGCGCGTCGGCAGGCGAACGTGGTGGCCGAGACGTACTGCAACGTGCTGTCGCTGTCTGACGAGGACTTCCAGCGGGTGCTCGAGAAGCACCCGCTCATGCGACGCGCGATGGAAGCCCTCTGCGCCGAACAGGGGACCCAGATGAACCCCGCGGCCCTGACGTCATCCCAGCCCACTGACCCCGTTTACTGAGCGCGTCGTCCAAGCACACGCGTCTACAGTGGCGCCGAATCGCGTGACAAGCTGACACGCGAATGCGTATTATGCGTCACCAAGTTTGGACCGTCCAGTTGCTTGCGTAGTATGTGAATAGGGACAGGAATGACGGTGCTTCTATGTATTTGTAGCGTTTAGAACGTCGCAGCGCGCCCAGAAGACATCTAGCGCTGACTTCTTAATATACGCTTAAATTTAGATCGAGCGAAGCTTTTATTTCGCATTTTCTTCGTATTCTCCCTCTTCATTTTTTTTTCTAGCATCGTTTTCTAATACCTCACCTCTCCTTCACGCATTTTATATTTGTTGCAGTCTCATTAGCGCAAGTGAAGCTTTTCAATTGGCGTAAGCATAACATACCGATTGTTTATGCACTTACAGCAATACGCTGTTCAGGTTGCATAGAAACTGACGTTCATTTATGGTAACTTTAATGTCCTCCACGACATTTGAATCATTGAACGCATTTGCACAACAAAGAAAAAAAAGAAAAAGAAAAAAAAGAGGTGTTCACTTTTCGTATGCGTGAAAGACATTAGTCATATTTATCCATATATTTTCCGGTGACTCACTGCATGGGAGTCAGCGGCGTTGGTCAGAGCACACTCACACCCAACTCTCAAAATTATCCTCGTTTCCGTATGTTTTGTTTGTTTTTTTTTTTTCGCTGAAGCGCTAAAAGAGTGTCACAATGCGGGTACTCGTAGCCGTATGTATCTTTCGCGAATTAAAAACAATTTGACGTCTACTGCAGCGGAACGATAGTTGCGGTGCTTGGTAGTGGCTAGGTCGTGGGTTCGATTCCGTCCACGACGGTCGCGTTTGGGTGGAGGCCCGTGTGCGACATAAGCGCACGTCAAACGACACCCGATGGTCGAAATTTCCGGAGTCCTCCACTACGGCGTCTCTCGTAACCATATCTTGGTTTAGGGACGTCAAAGCCCGGATATTATTACTATTGAAAAAACTATTTGGCCCCGTACGCAGTCTCCACGTATCAACGACAAAAAAAAATGCTCCCGCCCGTGTTTTGGTCATGTCGCCTACATTGAATGTACACGAAGGTTGCTTGTGTGGTGAGATGGTCATAAAGATAAAAGCTTCAAGCAAGGGCCAACTATTATGTCGGCTATTGAAATATACGTAAAGTGCACTTCATTACACGAGAACTCCGGAAACAACGGGCAACATAGTTGTGGCAACAGTGAATGCTGCACGTGGCATACAGATTTGATGTATCGAACTTTTACAAAATTGTGGTAACTCCGCACCTGCATTCACTCTAGCGATTAAGTATATACGAAACTGAAGCTTTGTTAATTTTCTGTGTTTCCAATGATTTTGCGACTGATCGCAATAGCGTTATAATTTAAGAAAAATGTCCGTGTCTGTGGGCGCGCCCTTATTCAGTTAAACGATGAACCAATACCAACTAGCCCAATCATCCGTGCTACAGTATTACACAAGATTTTCTTTTTGCTTTACGTGCATTTGGCTTAACTGGCGGAATTCCGATAACTGTTTTCCATTGCAAGTACAGTCTTAAATGAATGCATAACAAGCTTAAAAGAAAGATTGTTGAAGATGAGGCTATCTCATCGTCAGCTTCCATGTGCTGCAGCACTCGGTCCATTATCCCAAGCGAGAAAGAAGGGTTGTTTCTTTGAGATGAATTTTTTGTGCGCGACATACGATACGTGTTCTTTGTAAGGAATATAAGTGAGCGGGTGCTGAAATCAGTGTTATGCTGCAAGTTTGCGCCTGTTTTGTGTGTCCTCTTCTATGTTCTTATTCTTTCAGCGCTAGTTTTTCGTCGACCGTATGTACCAAGAAGTCAAAGTTTCAAGCGTGCTATTTCTTTATTTCTTTCTTTATTCGTTTTCTAGCCGATCAGAGTTATAGCATCTCACGCTGGACAAATCAGTACGCGTGTTGTGGGACTGAACCAGAAGAAGAAGAATAGAAGGGAGATGAAGAGGACGAAGAAAGCTCGTGCTTGATCATGACTATGATTTCCTATTTGCGACACAAGATAAACATTGACCCAAACAGCTCTGTTGTTAAAACATAAAGAGCCTTACCATGTCAGTCTGCTTACAGGAGTCGGGAAATTATAACCATCTATGTTAAATATATACGCATTTAAATAAACTGAAATAAAAAGGAGTAAGCAAAATGTTCACACCATATAGAGATTAATTTTCGCTTAGTGTTCAGCAATGTGCATTTGTCAGTCCACCCTTTCATTAATTAATTGATCTGATTGATTGATTGATTGATTACAAGGCGTTCGAAAATTTCTAGGTGGTTTGGTGGGGTAACGAGGTGTGAAGGAGAGAGAAGCTGAGTTTTCTTCCACATCATCTCGCAGCATTCAGATTAAACTTAAGCTCTCATTCACAATGAATGCCCGCCCATGAAAGTGTTCCGGACGTTGACGTTTTTCGTTGTTGAAGGCAGCGGACACACTCGCTTAACAGAAGCTGCGAGATAAAGATAGAGAGATTGAGGGAGGGGGAAAAGGCGTATCGCATCCATAAACGGCTCCTATAGACGACTTCGAATGTAGCAGCCCAGCTACGTCACCCGCTTCGGTTGAACGACTGCGGCGGGGTCTGGCAAAGCGGCCTAATGGACTTCCTGAAGCAGCCGGATCCGCCAAGCTTTGCAGACGGGCGTAAGCACTGGACAGCGGCTGTTCAAACAGGAGCTCGAGCCTCGTGTAGGGCGCGTCGCCGAGAGGAAATCTCCGGCGGCGGACGCTACGAAGAGATGAGCGGCCGGCGGAAGAGAGTCGATTTGTAAGCGATGTATACTTACCCGGGCTATAGAGACGCTTCCCGCCCCAGCGTGCTTGCGGCACTAATTGCGCGATTATTTTATACATTTGAGTCACGGGACGCAGGTGTTGGAGCGAGTGTATCGGCAAGACTTGGGCGCGTGTTTTTGTGATGTGGCATATCCCATTCATTATGCCCACATAAGTTTGTTTTTCTGCCTTTGTATTAGAACCGCACATTTATTGTACGCTTCTCTATATAAGGGCTGTTGTTTGAGTACGTATTTCGTAGTATGCAAGACGTAAATCGTTGAAACCATTTTGAAACTTTGTGGTAGTCTCGTATAATGTCATATTGTCGTATTGCGCGTCATATTGTCTACCTCTGGCATTAAAAAAAAAAGAAAGCAACCTCCGCCAACTTGTTGAATATAAAGAGAAATCGGGAGAGAGAACGCGAAGAAACATTATTAATATAAAAGAAAACGGTAGGGTCTTTCGGCGAGTGCTACACGTGGCTCAAACTAGTCGGCAGTCAAACAAAAAAAAAGCTAAAACAAAAAACAGCTTAAGAAAGCTTTGCGCTAGTGATGTCATGCACGAAAGAACAGTGGGTGGCCTTCTTCGACATGGTAATGTTTACGTGTGTTTTTCTCCCTTTTTTTTATCTACGTTTAGCTTCTGCATTTCTTTCTTTTTATATTTCCTCCTTCATTTGTTTCTTTTCTTTGGATCTTTTTGTCATTCCTTCCTATCTATATATTTCTGTTCCCCTCTTTCATTTCTGCTATGTCTCCCACACACTTCCTCTACATTTATTTCTCTATCTCTTCTTTCCGCCTTTTTGTTCTCGCCCTTTCTCTCTATGCCTTACTCTTTTCCTTGCTCCTCACGCTTTCTTGACATCTCCATCTTTCATTCTACCTTCCATTTCCCACTTACACGGTATACTGTATTACACGAGCCTCTTCTAGCGTGCCATGATAGTCGAGTGGTGCCGCGGCTTCCAATGCCTCGTTAAAAACTTCCTGTTGGTCAATTTCTTTCTGCCTTTCTCTCTCTCTCTCTCTATCTCTCTACTCGTTCTATCGCCCATCAGAATCATCAAAACACGTGCGCCAGACAAACTGGCGCACGTGTTGTGAGCAAAACGGAAAACGAGCCAAGAGGGAGCGTGCTGGTTCATGACGATAATAATTTTAGTTCACCGATCATGGAACGACGCTCGGCTTCAATGGCTCCGCTGTTAAAGAAAAAAAAAGAGGGCAATATGAGAGCTTTGTTGTGAGAGTTCATGTGGCGTTTAAGTATGCACTGTTATATAAACAATCATTACACAAAAAAGTTTCAGTGATAAATAAATGGATAATCGATTGATTGATTGGTTGATATGTGGGGGTTTAACGTCCCAAAACCACCATATAATTATGAGAGACGCGGTAGTGGAAGGCTCCGGAAATTTCGACCACCCGCGGTTCTTTCGAATCTGAACACACGGGCCTACAGAATTTTCGTCTCCCTCGAAAATCCAGCCGCCGCAGCCAAGATTTGGTCACGCGACGTGCGGCTCAGCAGCCGAGTACCTTAGCCAGCAGACCACTGCGGCGGGGCAATTTCAGTAATAAAAGCATAATAATTAAGAATTGCACAATATTTTGTTGGCGCCAAACTAATGGGTAATGGAGAAAACATTCAAAGAGTCATTGCAGGAGCTGCACTGGTGAAAGTTGTGCGCTTATTCAAAATCGCTACCATACGTTGGATTTTTATTGTTTAATTGGCAGATGAACTGACCGGCATAACTGAACTAGAAAATTCAAAAAAAAAACTACGCATCTCAACAAAGTCAATGATGACGGCTGGGCGAAGCAAGGTCCTAAGGTTCACAATGTCAACATTGAAGTCGTCTACTAGTGTAAATGACGCACGGATGGACTAACGCACGAACGGTGCAGGTGTTTTTTTTTCACAGCTGTGTAGCAGGTGTTGTCACACGAGTGTAGACGCCAGGACATCGCTGGACGCCGGACAAGGCTAGCCCCTAGGGAGCTCCGCCCCTAATAATTGACGTGCAGGATTGAAAGTGACACAAATAGGCAACAAGAACCAATTTCCTAGGTGAAAAAAAATTCAATGCCTTTCCGTCTCATGTTATTCCTGCGCAGTTCTGAATTCAACACTTCAATTCAAACTAAAA